TTCTGCAAGGAAAACAGAGCAAGAAAGAACGCCCATGCCACCAAAAACAACTGGAGTAAAGACTGGTTCAGTTTATTAGAGGTATACTTATTAATTGGCGTTATTATTTTCATGTTTCCTGTTAAAAATACCTGGATTTATATGGGTTTTCAGTAAAATAGAATATCATTTAAATAATTCATAATGGTGATCCAAGATGGCGGATTCTTCCAGTCCTTTTTTGATGATAAATGTCGTCATCATTGCATCACTGCTATCGTTAAATATCATGTGTTGCCAACTTCTTGATTTATCGGAGACCTTGCTTTTTAAGTAGTTTTCTCTTTATGTCAACTTTGAGGGAAATTTGGATTCTGCCAATAAATTTTAAAATATGACGTCATAATGACGTAAGATTACGTCATTGTGTCAATTAAGTTATGCCCAGAAGATGGAAATGATGAGTAAATTATTCTGTGTAATTTTGGTGGCCGTAGGACAAGCGGTTCTGAAATTATAGAGGGGAATCCTTAGAGGTCCCCCCCTATCGCAGGATGCAAAACAAAAGCCCGGTCTGAATAGGGTTAAATACCATGTAGTTTATAAAACATGCATGCCTTTTCAGTAGGAAGTCATGCCTTAAGTGGCTTAAGATCTCGTGTAGTTTGTAGCTCAGCTTATTCGGATATAACAAAAACAATGAAAAAAGTGTGTCTAGAGAAAACCATATTTCTTCGTAATAAAGTTAAGGTTAGGGTCTACGGAATGCTTCTAACCCTGAATATGATAAATAGTTACAATTTCGCAATAGGCCACTACCGAGTACTACCGAGTACTGTACCGAGTACTACCGAGTACTACGGAGTTGCCTCAAGCCTCTGTTCAAAGCGAGGCTAAGCGCGAAGCCAGTGATATGAAAATGATTTTTTTATTTTCATACACACAACAAAGGTTTTGCACTTAGCCTCGTTTTGAAAGTGAGAATTCTAGGAACTCGGAAATGGCCTGTTGATCTCCGGTGTGCATGGCCAAATTAACATTATGTTGTGCCAACCTTTAGTCGTTTTACGATTTTTCAAGTATAGGGGGAAAAATAGGGGTTTATTGCTGATTTCATTTCTCTTCGAAGGCTAGTTTATAAATGTTTATTTTAAAGGAAATAGATGAGAGAAGAAAAAAACAAGATGGAGGAAATGGATCTTCTAACATTTCAGAGGGAACTTGGAGACACATCGCTCAGTCTCGTCGTCAGGGAGTTTACGATGCTGAAGATCGGGTGGCTGATCAAAGGAGAAAGGCGCGAATATGGAGAAAAAAATTTGGCAGTATTCCCCCAGATTATGGAGAAGAGATAGATGAAGAATGGGGGAGGAAGGTGTTCGACAAACGCGACTCAAAGAGAAATTAAGCTAATTAGCCTGCAGATTGTTATACTGTGAAATCCCGATTTTTCAAACCCTCTATTTTTCCAGGAAACTCTTAAATTTTGCTTTCTTTCAAAAATTTATGTTCGACTTCACGAACTTTGAAAATTTAGGAACCAACAAAAACCGTTTTTAGTCGCATGCACTCATGGAAAAGCATTAACGAGTTCATAATGTCATTTTAGTCTTGAAGAAGCAACAACGCCGTTGTCACACATTATCGAGAATCATTTCAGACATCGTAGAGAGGCGTTTCCTTGTTGGAAAGAAGCAAGAGCTTATCACCCGTTATTTTAGCTGAGTATTATTTCTATTTTTCACTGTGCGATTATGTTACAGTAAACGGAAGGAAATGCAGTGACTCTAGTCCGCGCAAAATTAACACATATTGTATCAATACAGCCTTTTTCTTTGGTTTTTAAACCAAAAAAATGTTAAAATATTTCAATTTTGCATTAGTTGTTCGTATTATATTTCTCTCGAAAATTCGAAAAATCTGGATTCCACGGCAGTACTAGTATCGTAGTAACTCCTCGTAAGGGTGTGAGGTGTATAAACTAATGCGTCGCGAGTGGATCGCGCGGGAATCAAAAGCGTCGACCGAAAGGGAAGGGGAGTGGGGAAGAGATTTCACTGCAAGATCACTCACGTGAGTCAGTGAGACACAAGATATATGCCAAGCCTTGACTGAGGAAAAAGCCGCCCCCCCCCCCTCCCCCCCCCCCGGCAACCCAAAAAAATGAGCAGGGGCAGCAAGCTCGACGAGAGGAACAAATCAGACTCTGCCCTTTGGACGTAATTTAAGGTGTGTGGCTTATCTGTTTTAAAAGAAACTCCACGCCTCATTTCCTTGGCTGTGGGAGGATAACTTGGGTACTGCCACGAATTTTTGATTGTCGTTTTTGTTGTTTAATATTAATTGTATTCACTTAGCTTTTTCCAGGCGCGAATGTGTAACCATGAGTGCAAAAAATGCTTGGGGGCTGATCAAGCGCTTCCTATTTTCGCTCGAGCCTTAGGCATGTTTTTGGAGACTTCCTTATATATACTAACTAAAAGCCTGCAACAGTTTGATTTTAACTTTTCGTCTGTTTTATTTATGTAGTTTTTCATTTTGTCACATTTTCGGCTTCCAATAAAAGTTTTTCTTTTGTTAATTTCCTACGGAGACTTGGGGGAAGATCGCAAAAAAAAATTAAGGAACGAAACGTAACGTGATATCAGCCCAGTAAGCCAAACTAGAAGACGTTAATAAAAAAAGGATGACGTAGATATATACATATATTCATTTATCTATTTATTTGTCAATATTGAAAACTAATGACCTCATAAAGAAAATACAAAGGAAATTTATGTTTAATGAGTGTTTGTAAATCAGATGAAAAACTCCTCATATTCTCATGCTTAATTTCTCTTTTTAACACTCATCTTGTGAGACAAAAACTATCAAACATTCGAAATAGTATTTCATCACAATTTTGAAACACTTCGAAGTTCCTACAAAACAAAACACCGCTGTACTCTGTGTTTTGAACTCCCTTCTCAGTGTTTGATCTTGTGAGGAAACACTCTATTTCGTGCTTCATATATTAGTTTGAAAAAGACCATACTTTACAGTTAGCTTTATCTGCAGTTAACACAGTCTGTTCTCTCTAAAAAGCATACAATCTCTTATAAAGTTGGGGCCACCTAAAATGTCTCTTTAATATGTATCTATAAATACTACTACTGAAAACTATAGATATTACGTTAACTGAAGTCAAACTTACAACTTTTATCAACTTATTTAGTAATTTACAAAAAATCTAAACATGCTCCAAACGTGACCAACATCAACTTTCTCCTAACAATATCCATACATCATCTAAAGAAGAGGCTAAGAGAATAAATTAAAATGATCACCAAAGCAAAAATGTTTGGGGCTGTGTCACGGTAGTCCAGTTAATTTGCTTTAATTTTGCCAATTACTCGCCCTCAATCTCTATGGAACTTAAAGTAAGCAAAGAAATTACATGTAAATGACAAAATCTGAGACCCGAGACAAACACATATGTCTCCTGAGCATTATTTTTGAAGTTGCAAGCAGCAGGGATCAGCTTTGAAAAACTGTTACGCTTAACAGTTTTCAAAAACCCTAATTTCAATCCGTTTCAATCTACTTCAGTTTTGCCTATCCGTGGCATCTGTTGTTTCTGTTGTGTTATTTTAACCTTCCTTTAAAGTTTTAAGCGGTTATTTTTATGTTTCTCTTAATTTAAAGGGCATTTTGGAATTTGCTAATTTGAATGAATTTCGTGACACAGCTCCTTTAAACAACTTGTTTCGCCTAATTCTTTGAGGAAATGTATTGAGACCAGTCTAGAGAATTTGTATACAGTAAATAAGTTCAATACTTAGTAAAAAGGAATCATCATTCAATATAGAATTGTCCGTTTTACTTCATTAATTTTTGCTTAAAAAAATCGTTTCAATGAAACAAAGGATCGCTGGCCTAAAGTTACATATGCCGCCATTAAAAAGGCGACATTAAGTTCACATCTTTGTGATTTTGTCGCACTCCGCTGGTGAAAATTGTACACGAGGCTTTCCTGTAATTATTCTTAACTACTCTTATACGTTAACTGTTTTTCTTGTTCTTTCCTACTGAGGGTGGATTCATTTGCAACATACGCATATAGCTGTCGCATTTTGCGCACTGGAATTTTTAATTGATTTTAGGCTTAAAACAACAAAAAATTCCAGTAGGCAAATGCGACAGCTTTACGCGTATGTTGCAAATGAATCCAACCCGAATCTGTAATAAATTTGCAACATGTATTTTATATGCATTATTTTTCCCACTCAACTTGGTTAATTAGCGTTATATTATTTCGGGTGGGATCTTAAATCATTGTAGGATTCTTTAGTGATAATAATTAATAAAATTAATGTCAAAATTTTACTTTTTTTTCGCATACTGTCAAGTCTCTTCTAGAGTCCACCGCTGTCAAACTTCCGAAGAGATTTTTAACGTATCTAACAGGATTTCATTCACCGTTAAGTGGAAACATTGACCAGAATGCATAAAAGAATAAGTTAATTAGGTTAATTAAGTTAATTATTAGTTAATAAGACTATCTTTGCATTTTCCTCCTAATATAAATTAGTTTCTTTTCGTTAAAAACGCTTCGCGACCGAGTCAAAATTCTGTTGACACATGGCAACGAAAGTAACACCAGTTCCGCAGTTTTCAAACACTTACAGAACCTTTTTAGTAAACTTTAATGGACTTGAGTAAATTAACAGTGTGTTTGAAATATATGAAACTTCAAACAGTGAATGTAACAACCTTGGCTTTGAAGTATTTTGCTTAGCTTTTGCAAATTTCTCCTGTTTGACCGCGGTGAACTTCTACAGGGACATCGCTAAGACATGCACTATTGAGTGTCTGTCTCAGCGACATTGCCCCTTCTTATAGAGATTAACAGGAAATGACTCAAAAAAGCACGCACCATCTCTAGTCTGTTGTCAGGAGATATCCGGTGGGAGAGAGTCGACCGTACGAAGGTATCCGAGCGGTGTCCGTTAAAAGACAGTCGACTATAGAATGTCATCCGTTTATATAATATTAGAATTGCTTGCCCTTGAACTTGGACGCACAAGAGTTCCTTCAGGAGTTCCGGCTAGACTTCCATGTGGAGTAACAGAAGATGTAGACAAGATGGGTCTTTGTTGATCCTCTTCGGGGACGCAGTTTGCGTTACAGTAATTTATTAATATTCGACAGCCTAGAACGAACAAGACTGCTAAAGGAACCCACGCCAAAACTTTCACAGCTGTTGTTAAGGCCTTGTTGTCGTTATCAGTGGCAAGTGGTGAACTGATCACTGTGATAAGAGAAAGGTTTGTCAAAAGAAGTATGTCTAACCTATTGATCCACTCGTAACTGGTTTCTTCTCTCTCTGGGCCAGCCTGGTTGGTTCCCCCTCGCTCCTCTCTGTTCCCTCTCCTTCTTGCCCCTCCGTGAATCCTTATCATGGCCGGGTTAACTTGTCTGACTTCTCTGCGTTCCACTCTGTCTTGCTCGCCTTGTGTAATGTCACGTGGACCCTTGTAAGGCCTCAACAACGCAAAGATAAAGAGGATTAAAATGCAGGCGCCCTCCAACACAACCCTTTTCACAGGACCAGCTGGCAGGTAAAGGTTAAGTAGCAAGATCGCCAGCCGGCAGATAAAATAGAAAGCTGCAAACCACCGATATTGATCCTTGAAACAGCCTTGAAATGCATCTAGGTAAAGATTCCATCTGTTTAGATCGAACACTGGACGAAAGAAATTGGTCAGGGACGGACGAAACAAGAGAAGAACAGGAAATGGAAGGACAATCACAACAATGTAAAGTATGGAAATGATAAAATACACGAGATGCCTTCCTTGAAAATATTCGTATCCACCGTAATCATAAAGAAACGTTTTTGATCCAATCTTGGCGGGACGCAGGATTGTGAGAGATATTCTCGTGATATCTGTATAGCACAACACGAAAATAGTGCAAACAGCGCGGTATGGGGCATTGGGCGTCGTTCTTAGGACCTTTCTGCTGAAACACCAGTCTGGAAAACGATCCACTAAACACTTCAAGACACTGACAGCCACTAATACAAAGAGGGGAATAAGAGACAGAGTGAAAAGTTTATCGGCGTCGTTTAAACCTTTGAGCAGGCAGAAGCTGTGGTCGCTAATGTCTACGTGCACATTGGTAAAAGCTATGACAAATTCGATCACCGGATCAAATTCAAAACCATCAGGTGTGAGCAACTTCATGATTTGGTATGAATACAACCAAGCGTTCAGATAACCTGTAGCTATATCGAGGTCGATCAGCATCACCACAACGACGACCACAAGGAATAATATGCAAACAAGTAACGCGAATATCACGTACCAATTCCGACAGTCTTGGACGCAGCGTTCACTTCCAAAGGTAACTGTGAACGAATCGTTCTTACACTTCCCGCAAAGAACACTACTCTGGTTTCTGGTATTGCTGCACACAGAGCCCTTATTATATTTATAACGATAGTCGTTGAAGGTGGAAGGGTTACAATATCCCGTTGGACAGAAATAGGTGGCAAACTCTCCATCGACATGTCCAGCCCAATACCCTTCTTTTATGTAAACTGTCTTTCCATCAGAGTCACAATTCAGTACTCCTTGAGCCTTCATGCATACACATTTTAAAGTTTTCTTGTCAATTTCAAATCCAGCATGACATTTCTTTAGTACACCGTTCTCAACCATTTCTTCTAAAGCTTGACCTCCACCCGCATAACCTAATTTCACGGTAAAGCTGCTTCCTTCATCTCCGAGCAACGAGATGTTTGTTATTTTGCCCCCAGTGGTGAGAAAGAGCGTTGAAGGGTTTGCGAGCTTAACAGAAGAGTTTTCAACAGTGACATTAACAATTCCTGGAATGGAATTCCCAACTTCGTCAAACAATTGAACAGTAGCATCAAAGACCTCACCTGGCGATACCTTCCAATCACTCTCATGATGTACTATGTCCACTGGATCCGTGGCAACTATATCCTGAAGGGAGGTTGAATTTGAAGGCCTGTTTGCAAACGTGACAAACTTCCATTTCAATACGCTGTTATGTTGGCGACTTTCCCCCGCTCGTCGACAGTTTTTGAGTGTTGTGGCGTAGACTGCGTGTCCTAAAGATGCGTTGTTATCTCTGAAGACAACAGTTGTATTCCAATGGTCAAAATCCTTTGACGAATCAGAATAGCCAAAGAAACAAGCTTGCATGTCTGCACCAGTTGAATTATAGCTTACCAGAGGGGCTCCTGGAGCTTGAATGTACAGTGCTCCACCTTTGTCACTGCATTTGTTCGCTTCGAATGTTAATGTAGAGGTATTTTCTTGCAAAATAATTCTCGATCGCCCATACATTGCTATCGCCCCTCCCCTTACACCGGTGTTGCCAATGAAATCCAATCTGTCATTAACTTTAGCTGATGACCCATCCAGGAGTAACGCAGAATGAGAATTGTTTACAAAGTACGTATTGCCTTGGAATATCAGAGGCACTTGCAAGCTGTAAAGAGTTCCTTGTCCAATCGTCAGATTAAGGTGAAGCTGGTTAACTCTATTGAAACGAAACAAGGTGTCATTTTGAAAGCATACGTGGTAAGGGACTTCCGGTCCAATAAGATCTTCGTTGTTATTGTAAAGGTACGCAGCAAGAGCAGCTCCCACACTTCCCTCGTTCTCCTGCCAGTTGCATCCATGGAAGTAAAACTGAGTCACAAAGGGATCCGTATGCTTCTCGCACTTTCGGGGAATTGTTGTTCCATAAAGTGAGCCACCACCTCCATATATAGCGTTGTTATTTACAAATGAACAGTTGGTCATCCAGAATCGGTTTATACGGAGTTGAGCTCCCTTTTTAGGCAAGTTTCCTATTCGGACACCTCCACCGGCCAATAAAGCGCAATTTTCGCTAAAATTTGTTGCTTCCACTTCAAGGGTGTTATTCTGTGTCGTCCCACTCATTTCAACCTGAAGACCACCTCCCCAAGATGCCTTGTTTCTTGCAAAAACACAGGACTTAATCTTGACGAGGCATCCACTTGCTTTGCCTAAGAAATACACTGCTAGTCCGCCTCCACGGCTAAACGGGCGTTCTGGTGTGTTGATTTCATCCGCTCTGTCTGCGTTCAACCATAGAGCTCTGTTTCCGAGAAAATTGCAGCCTGTAAATTCATAGCTATTGTTGTGTTGATACGAGTCGTGTTCGCTAGGGGTTACATTCACTTTATCATAACCATACGGATTTAATGCAGCGTAAACACCCCCACCTGAGTAAACGTACTTTCCACTCTCGCCACTTACATCTTCCCATCCGTCGAGTCTTCTTTCTTGTGAAATGAAGTTATCTGTAAACGAACAATTTGTGAAGCTCACAGTGCCCCCAACATCATACAGATTAGCGCCAAGCCCTGGACAGGACGAAATTTCAACATTGTACATTCGAAGGTTTCTGCAATACCGAAAATCTAAGGCGGTCTTGAATTTTGCGCCTGCCATATTTGGATAGTTTTTTTTCGCTCCGACAGAACTTCGATGCCATCCAGCACACTTTCGAAACTTCACTCCTTCGAAAGTGATCTTTTCGCTGAGGGAGAATGAGAGGCTGACATTCGGTTCGCAAGTTATTTGAACGTCATCACGGGAACGACTTCCGTTGAGAGCAAACGAAGCGATCCTGGTAAATTTGTGGCTTGTTTTAAGCGAGTGGTTTCCTTCACTCGCAAATATAGTCGTTGAGTTTAGACCAGAAGCGAGTTGTAAAGCTCGGTCGAGTGTGCACTTCGCTTTTTCGGTGCAATTCGAGGTTTCACTTCCGCCCGGCGATACATACATTTCTCTCGCATCTGTACACATAACGCAGAACACTGAACACATCAGGAATGAAGTATAAACTTTGGAGTAAAACATATTCTTCTGGCGCCAAAAGATGTCAAATTCGGTTTGTGGAGAAGGTTCTTTTGTTCGAGTGATTTTCTGGGAACACAATGATTCTGGGAATGACGGGATATTGTGACACGGAAGCGAAAACAATCTCAGTCACGTGCCTTCACTTGCGTGACGTCTTTGAACTTTGTACCACTGCTCCCTACATGTGATAATTTCCTCCGCTCGCTGACTCAACATCTGTGGAGTCTGTGTAGTTGTGAGGTTGGCCTTCCTAACCCGCTTTTTAATAACCGAGAAGAAAAAAACGAGAAGTGTAATAGGTTGGATCCTGCCAATGAACGGGTGAAGCAAACTCCTCTCTGAGTTAAACGCGGCAAGCTAGTATCTCATGCCGATCGAGCGTGATTGAGAAAGCACGTGAGCATTCAGAGAGGCGATTAATTTTATCCGTCTTAACCTTCCTTTCATTTCCTGCCATGCCCCCCCCCCCCCCACGTCTGCCATGGAAACCCGGGGGGTACTTGGATTAATTTTTGCTGGGTAGGTGCCCCTGGCCTCTCAGAGCTCCTACCCCATTGTAGTCTATTCTGTGGCTGCGGTTATAGACCCCATTAGTCATTTTTGGGCAAATGTAATTTTCCCAATCCCATCCTAGTCATTTTCTATTTATCAATCTTGTCTAAAAATAGGTCATCCTAAAATGAATTGAATTGACCCATTTTTTAAATGAAGAACGCTCTACTTTCACCTACGGTACGTTCCGTAAATATGAAGAACTTTCTTACCGAAAATGTGCGACCCCATTTTATTTACTCTATTGAAATTCAACCCCATTATAGTCAATCCAGTCGTGAAAATGCGACCACATCCAGCGGCACATACCCGTTAGCCTCTTATAAGGAAGTACCTCCCCTGGACATGAAAACTGGTCATGAAAAGGTATTAGATGAGCTCAGTGAAAAACAGCTCGAAATGTGACAGGAAACTAGAGAGGCTTAAGCTAAGAGAGCCAGCTATATAAAAAAATCGAGCGAAGTCCCCAATCCCCCTCTCACCTCTCCCCCCCCCCCCCCCCCGCCAAAAGAAAGACAATACAAAGAAGAGAGTAAAGAAACAAGGACTTTCAAAAACACATTTTTCGAAAATTTGTTTACTCAAAGTAAAGGAATTTCATATATCCCATGATGCTTCGCGGCAAGTTTCTGTCTTCTCTCCGCGGTGGAAAGAGCGTTCGAGGGTTTTGAGGGAGATTTTCAACGACCTGAATTTCAAGATGCAGCTCATCTAAGGTAAGTAGCCTGCGTAGCAGGCGTCGAAAGGGGTAGGGGGTAGGGGATAGGGAGGAAGGGAAAAAGGGGAGGGGGATCCCTCCCCCCTCCCCCCTCCCCCTCCCCTTTTTGCGCCTGCCACGCAGGCTAAAGGTAAGTTTCAATGAACCCTGTTAATCTTTGGTATCTGATTAATAATTTAAAATGTTTCCATGGTCATTTCACGCATTATTGCTCTCGTTTACGACCCTGTTAAGCCATGCTGTTTTAACTCGCAAGTGAATATTTATTTAGATGTCTTTCAATGATCGAAAACTGTCTTTATTCTAGCAAGGTTATGCCCTAATAAATTATTGAAATCGGCGGACAAGGGGTGCTTGATACTAGTTCCACGCTCCGACCTATTTCGACCTCACGATTTTTATGGATTTGATCGTTTTGAAATATCACATTTTCTGCCCTTTCTCCGCTAAGATGCAAGACGAAGGTTTCAATTTCTTTATGCTATTAAAAATGCCCTGTGAAGATGGGACATTTTTTCTTGAATTCGCTTCCTTTTTCGCTGATCAAAACACAAATATTATCTCTTGAGGGTATGATGAATGTTGAAATTCAATGTTTTATAGTTATTAAAGCTTTTATGTCTCATTATTTTAGGTAAAATTTGTTTTCTCATGGTGGCTTCCGGTCGCAACCACGCGTGGCGAACTTGAAATATACAGGCCAGCAAATGTCATGGAATAGCACGCCGTAGGACCTCAACCGGCGTATAAAACCTTTTAAGACATTTTGATAATTCTTTTAGGACCCATTGTAGTGAAGAAGTGGGTGTCTTTGTTTATACATTTTGCCATTTCTTAATAAAGGTTCTTTCTGTTTATGTTTGACACTGACAATATGAACACCGTGATCACCAACAAGCAACGAAGAGAAATCTCACACCTAGAATATGTATTTATTTCAAGTACGTGGAAATCGCCTGTTAATCGCGATATCCATGGAGAGTTTTATCAACGCACGTTAAAATAGGACGTACCGAAGCAAAGACCTTCCTCGCTAGCTTCTAAGAACATTTGTGTGGACTGCGTTGCTATCGTAAGGCTAGTTAACTCATAATCGGGGGCCAAAACACTCTCTTTGACTTAACGAGAGATATATTTGGAATAGTAAAACGAAAATCGTAAATAGATCGACACAGCAAAGGTACAGAAAGTTTTATCGGCAAAACAAGTCGCTTTCCACTGCCGTTCAACTGTCACGTCCCCGTTGAACTGATAGCCTGCGAAAACATCCGTTTCTCCTCGCTCTTCGCCGCTGAGGACGTTTCGCGAGGAGGAACTGAGTCGCAGACGTTCCTCCTCAGGGGCACCCAACGAGGATATAGTTCAAAACCACTAAAGCATAGCATTGTTGAACGTATTTTTTTATTCAAACGGTAGATATAGGCATATTTTTATCCCCTAAAAACTTTTCATCTGTTCGGATTTCCTAGCTGAAAGTCTAGTGATCCGAAGATTATAGGGATAAAAACTTACCTTCTCGAAAATTTCAGCTAGGAAAAGGCTCCCGAAAATTCTAGGTGGCCTTTTTTAGGGTCAAAATCCGTTAAAAATGGGTAATTATACCATTTTGTAGATGTTCGAAAAATTTTCCGAAAATTGCCGTTGGGTGCCCCTGCCTCCTCGCGAAACGTCCTCAGCGGCGAAGAGCGAAGAGAAACGGATGTTTTCGCAGGCTATTGAACTGATAGCATCACGTGCGTTCAGAAGCTTGATAATATAGTATGAAGCGATGCATCATGGGATATATGAAATTCCCCCCTTTACTCAAAGCTTTAAAAGTGTCCCTTTTGCCCTGTCACGTAATCTACAATACTCGTCACAGTTTGGTGCAACACTTGTCACGTTTCTCCCTCCCCAAACGTTAGTTGAGAAGGCGTGACATGACAAATCCTCAGTTTCAGTCTAGTCAATCAACGAATTTGGGGAGTATTGTGGATCATTCAGCCTGGTTTTCAAATTCTGCCCGCGTAAGGGAATCCAAGACGGTCTTGGATTATGGATTCCGCCAGTTTGTTGCCAGTGGAACTTGGATTCTGGATTCTGGATTCTGGATTCGGGATTCGGGGTTCTGGATTAGAATCATTAGTGGGATTCCGGATTCAAGCCAGGACCCAGTCGTTCGAAAGCCGATTGGCACTAACCCATGGTTAAATTTTAACCCAGGTGTCTTTTTCTCTTTATCAATAGCACTTTCTCGGATAATTTCCTCTATTCCAGTTTTAGAGAGTTCTAGCAAATTGTAAACGAAAAGAAAATAAAAAAATTAAACTGAAGTTGCTTTATAAGCTCTCATATCTGAATTCAAACCCTGGATTATCTTAACCCAGCTTTGAAGAACTCGGCCAAGGATTTTGTATTCCACAAGCAAAAATTTGCCGGATACCTTTACATGGGGCGATCAAATGATACCACCAAAATTCAAACTGAAGAAATTATCGATCCTTCCGAGTTTTTACTTCCATGAAGTATTACAGCAGCTAAAAAATAATATTTTAAATAAATTTTCATTGGCCGAGAGAGCGCCACAGAGCAGCCGTGTAGGTTAAAATTCATTGCAGACTTTCCAAACAGTCATTGTATTTGAAAAAGTATTGGTTCAATGTTTATGGTTTTCTCTAATATAAGGCTCCGTTTGTTAGTATTATTACAATTATTATTATTTTTGACGGTGTGACAGTAAAAACCAGAAACTGAGTATTCACTCCGCTTAACCCTGCTCTTTGTCGCAGATCATCCAAAGCGCCTAACTGACCTGTCAGTCTACAATGTATGTCAGACACCATTTAATTCACACAAGCAAAAATTTGTGTACACAAAGATGCTCTGACCTAAGTATCAGGCTTTCCTTGGCTTTTAGGGGGAGGGGAGAGTTTGACCCATTTTTGCCGGTTTCTTCCCTCAAGGCTTATTCCTCCACCCCGCACCCCAGAAACGCCTGAACTTGCGTTCTTTGTTTCATCCACTTCAGCCTCATGATCCTGCTGCCGAGTCGATCGTCTCGAAAAAGACCGCCAAGATTATATCAACCAGGGCCGGGTTGTTCAAAGCAGGGTTAAGATAACCCAGGGTTAGTGCGAAATTTAAATTCAGATATGAAAGCTTCAAAAGCAAATTCAGTTTTATTCTTTTTGCCTACAATTTGATGATTGGATGCTCTAAAAAGAATAGAGAAAATTATCCGGGAAAATGCTTTTGACCAAAAGAAAAAGAAACCCAGGTTAAAATGTAACCCTGGGTTAGCGCTAACGCTAATCGGCCTAATCGGCCAACTGGCCTCAGGGGGGGAAGGGGTTAGGAGAGTGTTGAATCGCCCGATTTAGGGGAATCCGGACCCCAGAATCCGGGAAATTTTTGCTGGTTGAATCCGAAATCTAGGAAAGTTTGCTTCTGGAATCCCGAATACAGCTCAGGGAATCCGGAATCCCACTAAAGATTCGAATCCAAAATTCATTACCTGGAATCTGGAATCTATGGCGTGGAATCCAGAATCCAAGGCTGTCGTAGATCGCTTACATTGGACGAGTTGAAGACTTGCGTTCCACATGCCACAAAGTGGATAGCTGAAGGTAGCCTGCGTTGCAGGCGCAAAAAGGGGAGCAGAAGGGGAAGGGGAGAGGGAAAAAAGTGTAAAAGATGGGAAAAGGGAAAGGACCTACCCTCTCTCCCCAATCCCTTTTTCGTTTTCCCTTCCTCCCTATCCCCTCTCGACGCCTGCTACGCAGGCTAAGATAAAGGTCAAAGGAGCTATCACTAGGAAATCAATGCTGTTTTAAGTCAATTCTTTGAGAAGGTCAAAATACTTAGTTCCTTAACAAAATCCACGAGATACTCCTGTAGAGTTATAAAAAAGATATCAACCAAATTCATCAGGGAGCCCTGACCATAGACCTATTCGGCTAACTCAATGTTGTACCCAATTCAAACCCTTTGGGAATAAAACGTTTTATTTCGGGAATTTCCATATCATTTAAATGTGAATGCCACATTATAATGCAAATGCAATACACAAAGAATCTTATCCCCGGGAGATTTGAATTGGGTACAACATTGAGTTAGCCGAATAGGTCTATTAGATAATAGAGTGTTTTCACATGACGTCACGGCGCCCATAGTGGTCTCTTAAAACAATAAAACGGCGGCCATGTTGGTGTCCCAAACCAATCCTCTGGGAGCTAAACTCTTTTCTCATGCAAGCGCTTTCTTTTTTTCCAATAAATTTACATAGATGCTGGCCACGTGAGTGGAAACACTCAATGATAATTCTTTAATTGTTTATTTTCGCAGGCTCAGCCGTAAAACTTGAAAAAGCTGGCCCAACTTTCAAGTGTTAATCCGTCTCCATTCTTGCCATCCGTGGCAACAGACGACAGAAAACAATTTCAATGCCTAAATATTGTCTTAAAAAACAAAACGAGACCATTTTTTTCAGAATTCAATTGATGCAAAAACACGTACGTTTCAGCTTTTACAAATTGCGTTTATGCATAGCTGCGAGGACTTAAGAACGCTTCAACAAAGTAGTGATTGGAAACATTTTATTTTGCAACGATACAATTTCCCCCCCCAAAACGCCTTTTTGAGCCTCCATGCTTGTTACGAATTACACTGTACATAACCTACAATGCCGGCCAATTGCCGTTGCCATTTTTACTTGTTACTTGTCTTAGTTATTGGACTAATAAATAACTTGCAAGCTTTCTGCAAGAAAATACACGTAGAGTCGCAAAATTAAAGCCAACAAAATGAAATACTTACATCAAATGAGTACGAAAAATCTAAAAACGGTATTGTACCCGTGTAGGACCAACAATATATTTTAGCTGTGTACAGAAGTCTCCGAATAAGCCACTATTTCGCAACTTTGTTGTACCAACAAAGATGGATAATCATTTGGTTGATGCATGATGGGGGGAGAGGTTTTTGAAGCCAAACATAGGTTAATTTGGCTTCAAAATCTTTGTAGAAAGGAAGCTACGGTTAAAACGGGCAACAAAAACGTGCGAATTGTTTTTGCAACAATGCTACAAAACGAGTTGGATAGCGATATTGCGCGTTTTACCACCCTCGAATCAAACCTATCTTGCAACAAATCAGGTTGTTGCAGACGGTAGAGTGTAGTTCTAGTTTTGCTACAAAATCTGTAGTTACCTTAGCGCGTTTTACCGGTTCAAGGCTAACTTTTTCAACCAAACTGACCAAACTCCCGTATGTGGCGTAACTCCCGCGTAATTCGATGGTACTCTAACTAAACTTTATCTGAACTTAGTATTCACGCAACTTGTAAAAACTTGATTAGTCGCAAGACATTTTTGATCGCGGTTGGTAAAACGCGCAAGATAGCTTTTTAGCTCGTTTTGCAGCAATATTGCAAAACAAATTGCATGTTTTTGTGGCTTGTTTTACTGTAGCTTTAATTTGGCTTCAATCTCTTAAAAGAAAGGTCTGCCTTGATGGGCGTGAATTGAAAAAGCCATTATGTATTAGTTCCATATCCCCCCATTGCGCCTCGGTACTCTAACTAAACGTTATGCCGTATTTACTCGACAAACCGGTTTCGACTCTACTGTTAGCAGGCATGATCTTCGCATACAGCTATTTCAAAAGACCAGTTTATATTAAAATTTAAGCTTAGTTCTGAGGCTTAGGCGAATTTGTTATTTACCTCTGAACTTCACGACCGTTTTTTTGTTTGTTTTATCGGCCCCAAACCTCGAAGACAAGTATGAATTTTAGTACATCAAATGTCGAAAATCCTTCGCGACGCATAGCAATATGGGTAATTTCATAAAAAAAATTACCAAACACAACCATAAAGACAACTACGGTCATAACATCAGTAAGAAAAACGTTTGTGATATTTATCACATTCTATGGTACTAAAAACCCCTACCGTTTGACCAAATTGCATAGGATTTACAGGTAAGCAAATGACCGTGTAGTCTTCTCGCGTAGGAACGTTAGTTGAACAATACACTGCACCAACATACCAAATTAGTTTACCAAACTCTGTCAATATGGTTTTAAGAGGTTCACACGCGCCAAAACGAGTTCGCAGAAAAGGTTTTCTCAACCTATACGCTTCACAATATTGGAGCTGGTGGATAAAATCGCCCTGTGTAGGGGAATGCGGATTCCGGATTCCGATAAATTTTGCTTGTGTAATCCGGAATCCAGGACATTTTTGCTAGTGGAATCCGTAATCCTGAGCTTTGCAAACCAGAATACAGCTTAAGGAATCCGGAATGCCATTAACGATTGGAATCCGGAATCCAAGTTCCACCTGCAAGTACCTGGAATCCGGAATCCACCGCGTGGAATCCAGAATCCAACTGTCTTGGAATCCCTTCCATGAGGCGAACAAAAAGTTCCTTTAGTAATAATACGTTTTCCACTGTCAGGAAAATTCCTACACCCTTCTTCAACTGTACAAAAACGTGAAATTGCTCATCTTCTTTTAAAGACAAAACTACAAATAACTTACGTTTGTTACTACGTTGCTGTTCTTAAAATTATTCACTGACAAATTTGATAAAATACAATATTGTTGGGTAACTTGGCGTTTTGGAATTAATTCATTACTTAATTACCTATTATTACAATTGCAACATCGAACATTTTAAGGTGAATTTACGGAAAAATATAAAATCGCGTAGATAAAATTCCAACCCACCCTCCCCGCTCCCCGTACGTTTTCGCTCAAAAGTGATTTTAGGGAAGCTGTTCTACGCAAGCTTTAAGTTCTGGCCATAAGGCTTTGCCAGACCGTAAATATTAATTGTTTCAATTCATTTCGTTGCACAAGAATGTTTTTATCTATGACCACACAATAGTCACACAATAGGATTTAAGCCACACACTCAAAAGTTAGAACCACCTTGTACAGCATAACAAACAGCACCAGAGGAAAGGTCTGCTCACTAGCTTTCATTTGAGTGATCACACTTAAGGATTTCATCCACTTAAACAACAGTAGAAGCCACATCTCTGTTCTCAATTTTTGCCTTGACAGCGAAAGGCTTAGATCATACCACTAAAGTTGCCTGTCTCCTGAGCGATAAAACGTTTAAATCCCCTTACATTAATACCAATTCATTAAAAATGCGAGCACAGCTGTCTCACAAAAAGCTTATACTCGTTTGCAGCCTGCGTTCTGTTGGTGACATTGGCGGGAAAAATCTGTTATTGGTCGGCCGCGTTGTTTCCCGCGCTGGTTCTCTGTGTTGACTGGCTTGGAGTTGTTCACTGTACTCTTGCCATCTGGCGTCATCGCTTTCGTGTGTAAGGTAACGCTCGCCAACAGCACCTTCCAGACTCCTCAAGTCCAGCCAGGTCTGGAAGTCCTGAAAAAGAATACGATGATTTCAAAGAAGGAAGTTGCTTTGAACACTCAGTTCAATGAGTGGTTAGTTACCGGTGCAACATACTTCATCGCTCAAAAACAGTTAATCGCCGCAGGATTAGCTCAGACCGTAGAGCGCCTGATTGCATAGCGGGAGGTCGCGGGTTAGACTTCGCGACCGAACCAACACTCGGAGTCTCAAAATAACTGAGAAATGAAGGTACTACCTTTGCAATGCCAGCGGCTACACCTTCGTGTGGCTCGGATGACCACGTGAAATGGTGGTCCCGTCTCCAATAGGGAACGTAAAAATAGTGTCCCCAATTAGTACTTTCGAGCTAAACGCATCGGCACTAAAATAAAGTGCATTTTTAACGAGAAGTGACACCCAAAGCACCCTTTTCTTTTCTACCGAAAACGGACAGCGCGTCACGCAAAAAACCCTCTGATTGACATCTATATTGAGGAACTAATAAGTGTTCACTTTTCAATGAACAGAATTCTACATATGATCAACAATCAGAATTGGTTAGCCCAGTAAGCTTTGAAGTAACAGTTCATTATAACTAGAGAGCTTAAGCAACGACGACGCGGACGGCAACGAAAACGGCCAAAAAGCAATAGGTTTGATTAGTAAAACAACAACAATGCACGTGCATCACGCTTTTTTTTGTACATTTCCGTGCCGTCGTTGCCCGACTACAACGTGAAAGTGCCTGAATTCACGTTTTGTCGAGGACGGGAACACAAGACAACAACTTTCTTTTCTTTTCCTGAACTTTGATACAGTCGTTTAGAATTCAACTCCAAAAACATTTGCCAACATTTGACGAAGTAAACGAGATGGAATAAGCGCGATAAAGTTTGAAGCGGTGCAAATTCACTTTTTAAGTGACGTTTTTGTAGCCGTCGCCGTCTTTGTTGCTTAAGCTCCCTACTATTGACAGAGAATTACGTGGTGGTTATTTACCTGGAGCCACGCGTGAATGAGCGACTTATCGCACGTGAATCGACAGCGTTGTTGGAGTTGTAAGAGGTTTTTAATTAAGTCAATACCTGGAAAGAAAAAGAAGATATTGTTGCAACATGAACTGACCTCATCTGATATTCATACAAGACGTTTCAGTACAAAGACAGTTGAAAAACCATTTTAAGGGACCATTTCTCATAAAAGACCATGACTCTATAGTTGGAACCTCTCGTAAAAGGACCGCCTCCCTTAAAGGTGCTGTGTCACGAAAGTCAGCCAAATTAGGAAATTACAAAATGCCCGTTAAATTAAGAGAAACATAAAAATAACCGCTTAAAACTTTAAAGGAAGGTTAAAATAACATATCAGAAACAACAGTTGCCACGGATGGGCTAAACTGAAGAGGAGTGAAACGGATTGAAATTAGGGTTTTTGAAAACTGTTCAGCCTTACAGTTTTTTAAAGTTGATCCCTGCTGCTTGCAACTTCAAAATAATGCTCAAGAGACATATTTGTTTGTCTAGGATCTCTGATTTTGTCATTTACATGTAGTTTCTTTGCTTACTTTAAGTTCCATAGCTACTGAGGGGGAGAAATTGGCAAAATTAAACAAAATAAGTGGACTGCCGTGACACAGTCCCTTTAAGTGTCCGACAATTCACGACATCTTGGGTGGCCGCTTAAGGAAGTTCCACTGTATAATAAAATTGAATTAAAGGCAACGCGACTTTGCCATGGACGCAAATGGCGACAGTTAGCCGGTGAAACACACAATTGGAACACCAAATCAGTTGGTGTTAGACCAAACAGCAATATAATAGGATGACCAATCATTTTCTTCCCGATTCCACTTCCACTTTTTTCCCCAACGACCAGTCAGTTAACAAGACACCCCGGGGAACCCTGGGTAAGATTCAGAGAACTAATAATATACTGGAAAAGAGTCGAATCCTGGGTGGAAAGAAGCCGCGCAATAACTTATGGGATTATTTGGGGAAGTGGATGGATCGGGGGGGAGGGGGGTAGCGACGGCCAAGATCAATAGACACAACTCTATAGGATGCACTTTACAAAAATGAAAGAGAGAGTGTGTGAGGACGGAGCTGAAACTAAAAAAGGGTGGGGGAGAGTTACTGGACGCACATCCCGAACTATTCGTTTAATCTCTCGCGCAGCCGTTGTCAGGAAGAGCGTGGCGTGGCGTCACAAATTACGGGCTGCGTAGGAAACTACCATTCGTCTAAATTAATGCGCTTTTGCTTGTGAAAGCATCATTCTCGCTGACTAGCCATGAAACGGTGCATTTCAACCACCAGACAGCAGTTTTGAAGACTGCCGCACTGGGACAGTGTTCAAACGTTTTCGTAATCGAAATGAAGTGGAAGCGAAAAATTTTCTGTGCAATTAGGGATCACTGTCTGGCACAAAACAATATTAAATAACGATACGAACACTGACACTGCGACACTGAGAAAAAGAGATTTATAGGACCGAGAGAGTGGACGCTTCATGATGTCTATATAATTTCACAAACCATTAGCTGAAATCTCCAGCCATGGATCCGATGGGTACATGAACTCAGCATTGTGAATCTGATCTTGTATATCTTCTTCTTCGTTAAACGGGAAAGTACCACTTAAACTGAAGAAAAAAGTAAAGAACACCTCTAAATAGGGTAACTATACCCTGACTTAAAAACCCTAACTTGAAAAGCGGTAACACATTCACTAGCGAACCAAAGGTTTTCTTTGTGGCCCACCAGGTTAAGAATCCCAATGGCCAGAGGCAAACCAGTTGGCTATTTACAGATGTGACTAAAAAGTTGAACTCGGAACTGTTGAGAACAAATCCAGCTAGCAGTTAAGGAGGAAATTGAACTCGGGGACTCCGCATTACAATTTAAGCGCTATAACCGCTCGACCATGCTTCCTCCACAACTATAAGGATCTGAGGCGCTTTGACCCAGTACCAAGTGCACTAGACTTTGCAGGGACATTGTGCTGTATCATCACTCATTGGGCAAGACACTTCAACCCCCAGAGTGAACCCAGCTGTATTTATCAGTACAAGCATAGGCAACCCGACCGAGGGGATTGAAATATCCTTAGTCGTTTAATACTTGCAAAACCGGATTACGCTCCGGCCTGGTGAGCCACTTGGCTAGAATGCAGACTCAACCTAGCCTTTTTACAGCCCCCATCTCCACCCTACCTCTCTTATAAAAAATCCCCGATTTTGTTTAAGGGTAGGGGCGGCTGTCGGCATGCTAACTTCACCTTACTTTTACCGACTTGAAAAAAATTTTCAGAAATAACAACTATGAGTTCCGATTAACTGTGCTCTTGACTTTTACTAATCCACGGCACAGTAATATCGAGGCCTACCTTACATACAAGACGACACCAACCGACCACATATCCAGCGATCTATTGTACCCCTTATTAAGCAGGACCTCGGGTGCAAGGTAAGCTGGTGTTCCGACCACAGATCGACGGAACGACTTCTCTTCGATTATACGAGCGAAACCGAAGTCGCACAGTTTAATCTGAGGATAGCCACATTCATTGGTAACTGAAGATAGTAACACATTCTCGGGCTTTAGGTCACAGTGAACGATGTTTCTGGCATGAAGATCTTTCAGAGCTACTAAAATCTGCAATACCAAAGGAGACGCTATGGTCAGTTGCTTGTTGAAGCAGTCAGCAAGAAAATTTGAAACTTAAGAAGTTTCGATGATTCGAACATCATTATCATGTTTAATGAGTGTTCGGAAATCAGATGAAAAACTGCTCATTTTTGCATTCTTAATTTCTCCTTCTAAAATAAATTTTTTGGAGAAGTTATATCAAGCATTCGACACAGTGTTTCATCACCAGAAGAAGTTCGTAAAAAATACTCCGTTGCCAACGTATTTTCAACTCTCTTCTCCGTGTTTCATCTGGTGATGAAACACTACGTCTCATGCTTACAGTAGCAAATCCAGACCTTCAAATAAGGTCTCAGTTTGGTCTAAAAATAAGCGGGGACGGGGGGGCAGGCCCCTCCCCTGGATCCACCACCAGCTCGATATATTTCGTCATGACCTAAAACGTCGTCTGCAATACAAGAACATTGCTCTACATCAGGTCATCCCATCACATCTTGTAACGTGAAGATTATACTCGCGGAAGACAACACCCTGAAAAGGAAGATCTAGGAGGCTGTGGATATTAAAAGAACACGTCCCTCTGTTAGCGGCGATGGTTGGCTAGAACTAACAAACATCCATGATGCAATTCTTCTATCACGTGACCGACCTGAGGTCACACGACCGCTATGTAACCTTGAATTAACTTTCGAGTGATGAAAGCCAAGTGATTTGGCTGAAATGTCTCGACGCAAATATTTTTTACGTTCCAGTGTATCATTAGGGAGCTTAAGCAACGACGGTGACGGTAACGAGAACAGCAGAAATGCAATAGGTTCAGAATAGCAAAACAACAACTTTGCACGAGCGTCACCCTTTTTTGTACATTTCTTTGCCGTCGCTACGCGACTACAACGTGAAAGTGCCGAATTTCACGTTGAGCCGAGGACGGGAACACACGACAATCACTCTCTTTATCTCAGTTTTCCTTAATTTTGATACAGTCTCTTAGTATTTAACCCTACCAAAAATTTGCCAACATTTGACGAATTGAACGAGTTGGAATAAGTGCGATAAAGTTTGAAGTTGCGCGAATCCACTTTTTAAGCGACGTTTTCGTAGCCGTAGCCCTCGTTGTTGCTTAAGTTCCCTATTTCTTCCTACTGATCATTATCAAGAGTGAGAGGAAATATATAAGAATGTGATACTCGTCGTGCCATGAGCGCGAGACAAAGAAAATTCCTTAAGCGTCAGATCGGGTTGGTAGTCTCAGTATAGTATCGAGGCACACCACTATAGAGTGTTTTCACATGACGTCACGGCGGCCATATTGGTGTCCCAAAACAATGAAACGGCGGCCATGTTGGTGTCCCAAACCAATCCTCTGGGAGTTGAACTTTTTTCTTATGCAAACGCTTTCTTTTGTTCCAATAAATTTGCATAGATGCTGGCCACGTGAGTGAAAACACTCCATAGGACTGGTCTGGGGAGTCTATCGTCCTTTATCGTACCTGAGTTATAAGGAATTTTGTGAATCTTTCGTCTAGTCGGCCTTTAGGACTTGACAAGATAAGCTCCAACATGTCACTTTTCATTTTTTCCATGACGACAAATACCTAAACCAGACAAACAAGATGATTACCGCTAATATTAGAGGAGCTCTCGCCAAATGCATCGTTGAGAAGTCTACTTGTTGTGGTTTTTAACCCCTTTTAGCTCCAGTATCAAAAACCAAATTCTCCAGACCGATCTCCACATATTTCCTTGACAATTACCTAAGAGGATTTGTTTTGAATATCAAAGCATTTTCTGTTAGCTGATCACTTTATTAATTCTTGCAACATTTCCTCTTTACTATGTATTGATATTGTGGGTCAATTTAGGTATCTGGGAAACTGCCCACCTACCCCTCCCCTAAGTCAACATTAACACTCACTTCTCACTTAGGGCAAAATGTTGGGTTAGGGGAGGGCTGGGTGGGCAGTTTTCCAGAAACCTTAATTGATTGGATATTGTTAGGGGCAAATTGATTTTGGTCACTCTTGGGACTTAGAGGGTTGAACAATAAGGAAACTGGGACGAGTTCACTTTCGCAAAGACCTCTGGGGTTGCTGTAGACAGGGAGAAAAAATTGGCCAATAGCTGACTGGCGCCTCCCAAGTAACAATCCCAGAAACAATCGCGGAGCAAAATTTCGGCTCCAGTCCCCTGGTCGCTTATAAAGTGGCGCATTCATCTTTGCTTTATGCAATTTCATGTTTCATTGTGTTTGGGTATGGTGATGTATGATGATGAGTTTTCCTGAACATACTTACTCTTTCAGGTGTCTCGAACATTTTCTCTAAGCCCACAACACCGGGATGTTTAACGTGCTGTAAAATAAATACAAACTAGTTACTTGACATGCCGATCCCAAGCTACACTTCTAGTCAAAGCTTTTTGGCTATTCCGTGGGTTTCCGCGCCGGTAACAGTCATCAATACAAACCCACAATCAGCAGCACTACGCCGCGTACGGCAACCTCACGGAAAAAAGCAGCCTCGTTCCCAGTTGCCCTTGGCGAGTTCGGATATGACGTCACCCGTTAAGCGTGTCGAGTGAATTCGCCTGGAACGAGCGCGCCATCGCGTTCGTTGCCAAGCCTCCTGCGCTCACTCGCACAGCGCTTCTGGCCTAGGGATGAGGTTGACAATAATCTTCAAAAAGGCGGCACCAATAATCAAGCAAACAGTTCCTGATCTTTCAAGTTAATAATAGGCAGATTTTGTAAAGACAACGCAACGTCAAATAAGAAAACGAAAAAGGCGACAAGATAAGACGAGATCTTGGTGCTAGATCAGGATTGAACGCGACTTCTGGTAATCAATTTGCTGCTTCGTGATTGGTCAAGTCGGCTTTAAGATCCGCGCACGCGGTCCAAACAGTCGTGGCGTTGTCTTTGCTAAATCTTCCGACTGAATAGGTAAGTAAGCGCAATCAAGAAGAGTTTGTCGAACATCGGCACTCATCCACAGATACATCAATGAGGGGAGTGCGATATTCGTCAGAGGGCATAAAGCATAATAATTTTTTCGATAATTTTTGTAGGCATCGCATTAAAACTTCAGTCTCAATCTATGTCCATCGGCCTCGCCATCCGTTGCAGTAGACGACAGAAAACGTTTCAATACCTAAGTATTATCTTAAATAGTAACACTGGACCATTACTTTACTAACTCAATTGATGTGAAAAAAAGTTTTAACTATCAAGAATATAGCAAATAGATTGAAATAGCCCCTTCAATGTACTACATTCAAGCTACAGAGTGACCTGGGATGCAAAGCATTGCCATTTTAGCCATCAGTTTACTTTCAGTTGTCTCTCGGCATTTATTTAAGGGCAATGTAGAAATTCGGAGGTGTAATTGCAGCTTATTGCTACTAGCCTGGAGAATCGCGACTTCATTCTTTAACTGAGCTTCCTGTTTGGTGGGGAAACGAAGTTTATCAATAACTTTGATAGCCACATCTCGCCCACTCTCACGATGAACTCCTATAAAAGGCAAAAAATAAATCTTAGTAAAGATTTCATTTTTGAAAAAAAACAGTTGTATGTCACTAAGAATAATTCAGATTTTAATCATAAATATGAAACTCACTTGTGAAATACATGTATGTACCTCTTACCAACCCAGTTTGAGGTCCGCACTGTATGTTACAGACCGATTTTTTTTTTCCCGTTAGTACGATAATTACGATATGATGTTAATCGGACGCGCAGGAAAGAAAATTTTCAAAATTTAGCAGGCCATACAGTTCAGTACGGCCTGCAAAATTGACAAACCACTGCTTGTGTACCAGCTGGGAGATAAATCAATCCATGAACCATAAAACGGCCTTACTCAATACTTAACTATTTACCCTACACTGGTATTGAGTAAACTGCAATGGTATTAGAGCAATTTTCAATTGAGTGTTGAAAGTAATCCAGGATTGAATTGGTTTTGCTTTACTGCGCTGTTTGATTGGTCTAGAAAACTCGCGCCACCCTCTCAGCCAATGAGATGTAAACTAAAACCAATCGCTCCTTGGTCACTCGCGTTTTCCCGCGCTACAGGCCGGTTACACGCGTTTACTTCGAGGTTGCCATTGGCTTCCTCTGATAATTTCCTTTACTCTGATAGGCAGTTGTGATTACTTTGGTTTTGGTTTTCGACACTCAATTGAAAAGCGCTCTAAGTCAAAACATAGTTACTAGAGGAGACGCTTTATGAATCACAACAAGCATCAAAGATAAAACCACGGTGCTGCAGTTTATGTTGGAAGCTCCGTGAAGGTACACAATCCTTTGTTTTCTGTTGGCAAATTGTGACTGAGTAAATTTACGCGAAGTGTTTATTGGTCAGTAATGTTAAAATGATAGGAACGCTATTGAACGTTGCAATTGTGCACCGTCAGGTACACAAAAACATAGAACAAAGAAGTCTGACGGGCTTCATATCCTGACTCCAAACTATTAACTATGGTCAATATTAAACTCTGAGGTTTACAGTTAATAATTCAGATTCTTTTCAGTGGGCAAAAATAAAGTGCTTCAACTGCTCCTTGAAAATTACAGTAGCTTGTTTAAATTCAACATGAACCGAGTCTAGCTACTTTGAACTGCTATTCAAGTAAAACCGCAGTACTGTATTTCCACTTTTAACAATTCCCGTGATAACTAAGCTCAGAAATAGATATATTTCAATGGAAGAAATACAGCGACAGCTTACCGCCATAAACTATTCCAAATTGTCCTGATCCAAGAATTTCATCAGGGAATACTTGATACAGGTGACTAATATCCTAAAAGACCAAAAATGCAATGTTTAACTGGTTTCAAAACGTCCCAAACAATACTGATGGCAAAAAAAAACTGCAGGATAAACTTATTCCCTTGAATGAAAAATGTGTACTTCAGTCGAGCGGGGCAAAAAAGAGCGTGGCCTGGGGGGAAAAAAAGGTGCCTTTTTTCTCCTCGAGGCTACGCTCTTTTTCGCCCCGCTCCACTTGGCAGCCTGTTCGCAGGCTAACAGGAAGATTGTTTTGAGCATCTTTTCTCTGGACGCTAGCAAAACGAACAGGCAAAAACAAACAAACAAGACAAGAACGAGACGCGCTCTTCTTCCATCTCACCCCAATTCTTCTCTTCTTCCGTTCGAGCAATACAGATAGTGTTACCAAGAGAAACCGATTGATTGGACCGAGCTGGTTAGGGTTCGAGTAATATAATTCAAAGCACAATGCTCATCAAGGTCTTCGTGGGAATAGGCACCTATTATGTCTTTTGAAAGAAAGTGGGCTGGGTTTGATTTTTCACCGACCACCTAATTTACCTCGATAGTACAGTGACCTTATCACGTGACAAGAGTTACCTTGCGAAGTGAATCTGATTGTGGTTAATCAACAATGTGAGTTAAGTTATTTTATCACGTGAGTAAAGTGTACTTACCGTGTGTGAATCTTTAGGTCTCTCTTCTTCTTGTGTAACTTCCATCTCAACATCTGTGTTATTGACAGCTAACAAGAAAATTAATAAACAACACTTTGGCAACTTGTTGTTGAGTTTTAGGAGAAACAAAATGAGAGGTTCGGTATGGACACTTTGTATCCCCTACCCCTGGGTGACACCCTTGTTCCCAGGGATGAGAGGTTCGGTACGGACACTTTGTATCCCCCACCCCTTGGTGACACCCTTGTTCCCAGAGTTATCACATAATTCAAACGAAAACTGTTCAGAGGAAATTCTGTGGCTTTTTTGGTGTGCTATGCAAAAAGGTTTTAACTTAGGCGGTCTGTGGGGAATAACCTAACTGTCTCACCATACCATTAGATGACAAAAGGGCTATATGAACAATTTCAAGTTTTTGAAAATGGTAAAATATTATACGCTCAGTTTAAATGGTGGACAATCACTGTAGCTCTTTCTAGTCACTCATGGCTGTTTAGAAAAGCATAGGCTTTACCTTTCGCTAAACTTAACAAAAACTTCTGTAAAAGTGCTGGCTGGTGAATTTAAAGGGACTGCGTCATGGCTGTCATACTAAAAACGTTTCATATTTTAATTAAGGGAGCAACTTTCTCGACGAACTCGCGAGGAAACGCTTGTTACACAGGCTAATTTTAATTACCAGCTGTTGATCCTGGGGCACTGCTTGTTGTCGGTGTCACGCAACCTGGCATCAGAGCAGACCGCGTGACATGGGCCCAGGCTTGCCCCGCTACTGTTCCTATGCCACTATCAGGGTCTGGTGTTTCGTTCTCGTCCTCGACTTGCCCTACGTAGTAGACCATGTCACGTGTTTTCATCTCAAAACAGTGGGGAGCTCGTGTGGCATCCGTTGCTAGGGGGTCGATGTTCGAGTCAACCGAAAGAATTTCTGACAGCTGTATCTCCTGCAGAAGCGAAAAAAGAACATGAAAATTCTGCAAAACTACAAAAAAGCTATTATACTTAGAATATATTTTCTTTTGCGGGATAACTTGGCTAGGTTAGTTCTTCATCCTTTTTTCGTCTCTATAAGTTTATTTCGAGGCTACAGTGTATTTACGCTACTATACTTAAAACTAACTACACTTGAAACTATACTAAAAGTGGTTAAAATTTTTGCGCAACCTTGCATTGAAATGACTTGTATCGAAACGACCGATGTCCGACCCTTCAGCTCAAGCCGGCGGCACTGCATCTCGTCTTTGACAACTTTCGCATCATGGCAAGAACCATTGAACCTCCATAGCTAAGTTACCTTGTAATATCTGCTACTTGTGGAGTCCTTGAACAGCGTCAAACACTTCGTGTCTAGTCTCCAGTAATGCCTTCTTCTCTGAAGAAAAAAGAAAAACAAGCGGAATGAATAAAAATAACATTTTTTTATAAGCCGGCGCTGGATATTGAATAGAACCAATATCGCATCCAATAAAGGCGCAAGGAATAAATTAATTGTCTTATTAAATTCTCGACCTTGGCTTTCGACAAATTGTATTTAATTTTACAAAACGTCCTTTTTAATAATTTGTGCAGGATTCAGGCTGTTAGCCGGACCGAGTTCGCCTAATAAATGCATTTTCGGAGGTTGAGAATTTTTAACAACCATGCAGGCGTTCTTAGGGTTTCGTCTTGCCTGCGAGCAAGCTCTCTTAGGGAGGTCTGGGGAGAGCTAGAAAACTTTCATCTCCCCCGCCCACAGAGCCCCTGAGGCAGCCTGCTTGCCGGCTAGGCTTAGTTACACGTTCTTTCCCTACGAACGCGTGACAAAGCCCTAAAAAAAATTGACTTTATTGGGGTAACACAATAGGTGGCCCACAAATTAGGCCAGAAACAAACATTTGAGGATAAACCATAACAACTTAAAGAATCCCAACAGCCCGGTTAAAGACAAACCAGCTGTCTTACAATCGTGACCGTGAAGTTGAACTCGGGACTACCGGGAACAAATCCAGCCAGCGGGTAGGACGGGGATGAAACTCGGGGCCCTCGGATTACAATTCCAGCACTCTAACCGGTCAGCCACGCTGCCTTACTTAAGCTTGGAAGGCTATGTGCTAACCTGCATATCCTTGTTAGTGAAGTGCACCATCCAACCCTGTTTAAGAACTTTGGATCCTTTCCTCTTGGTGTGTTTTACCGATACAACAATCCGCTGAAGAGGAATATTATTGCTGATCGTCGGAGTCAGCTGTTGCTGATCGCTGTCCGGCGACGAAGGACTTGGAGGCTCGCAGATTTCCTCCTGGTTACTTCGGCTGGCCGACTCTACTTCACATTCATACTCATCATGCTCCCCGTAGGTCATATCATGGGACAGATCCATCTCCGAGAAACTTTCTGAAATGGTGCTCGAATCAGTTGAATATAGCGAGGCTAAGAATCAAAGATAAAGCCAATTATAAAAACGCCATACAAAACTGGTTTTATGACATTACAAGTGAAAATAAAGGCAAAAATGAATGCAACTGATAACTCGCTGTGTCTGGTCAATAAGAAAAAAAAGGAAAAAAAAACATTCGCCAGCTAAAGGGTATACTGATGGTGCATATGACATAGGATCAACTTCGGGCAATGACGCTCTTTAGGTTTCCAAAAATCCCATTGTATTTTCAAGTCACCTGTATCTATCATTGCCACTTCACCTCGGCAGTTCTTTGGCGCCTTCTCTGCACATCTCCGATGACAATTGAACTTACAATCTGCAAAAAAAAGGAAATTAGTCACTCACTAACATGCCCATATTCAAGGCCCGTTCATTCGTTAAAAATGACGGAACGGCATGGGAGGAAACAAATCACGGTTCCAGATAAAATCTGATTGTTTACACCAACAAGTTTTGCAACGTACCAACGGGTAAAGGGACACGGGAGTTAAAAGCCCTGAGTTTTCTTTTTTTTTTTTGCGACCGGTGACGAAAAAATGTTGTAGATCGGTACAGAAAAGGGCAGTGGCGGATCTCGGAAAGGATCCCGGGAAACCCGGGCCCCAACATTATTTTTAGGCCAAACTGAGGCCTTTAGGGCTGAGAAAAATTAGTTTGGAGGCCAGCTCTCTCTCGTATCTCAGGGCTGAATAAGCTACACCCCAACTACTTACAGGTCTGAATCCGCCACTGAAGAAAATGAGAGTTTACATGTTGAAAGGGAAACAAAACGGCGGGTACGGAACCGCCGCCCGGTTAACGGATAAGCACCGGTCTGCTGAGCGAGAGACCGCTGGTTCAAACCCCGGCCAAACCAACACTCAGGGTCTTTAAATAACTGGGGAGAAAGTGCTGCCTTTGAAAAGCCACCTGCAAACGGTTAAACTTTCTAGCCTTCTCGGATAAGGACGATAAACCATAGTTCCTGTCTCATAACTCCGGCACGTATAAATTCTGAAGGACATCAAAGAACCCACACGCTGTTCGTAAAGAGTAGGTGACGTACTCCCCGGTGTGGTGATCCATCTCTTACGGCAAGATAGCCTGCGTGGCAGGCGTTTGAAAGGGAAAGGAAGGGACCTTCGCGTTTCTCTCGCACCTGAAACGCGTTTTCCCTTCCCTTTCAAACGCCTGCCACGCAGGCTATCGGCAAGAGGGACTGTTACGGGCCCGCGGTAATTGGTGCCACATGATGTTGCGGTCTCCTTGCCCAGAATTGGCGAACCTAAGTTTATCCGTGATAATTCACACTCAAATTCCTTACCTTTGCACTGAAGTCCCTGACGAAACAAACCTCTCAACTGCAAAAAGAAAATTGACCGCATTTCCCTTGAGAAGATCAAGTAACTGCACTTAAATTCAGAGCACCATTTGCTTAAGCTACCGCAAAAGCGGGCAACTAAAAAGCGCGCAACTTGTTTTCCAACATCGCTGCAAAACGAGTTGAAGAGCGATGTTGCGCGTTTTACCAAAAAGTTCGAACCTGCTTTGCAACAAATAAGGTTGCAAAGTGTTTCTCTTTTTCGTGGAATAGTAAAACGCGCAACATGATGATCGCTCTTCAACTCGTTTCACGTTTTTTGCTGCCCGTTTTCCCGTACCTTGAAGCCATCAGACAACTAACAAGTTTTTGAGACGCAAAGTGTCTAAAACTCCATACAACCTGTACATTCTCAGTTCAAATTTGGGCTTCAACATCACATATTACCAAGAATTAATTAGGCATATGCTGACGAAATTATTTTCATGGCGGGGTAATGCTTAGTCTGCTACACAGCCGTTTTTAGTGTCGTCACGCAATGCTCCTCCACACTAAGTCGGTTTTCAGCAGCCGTTAGAGGGGAGGAGCGTTGCGTGACGACACTAAAAACGGCTGTGTAGCAGACTAGGTAATGCTCTGCTCTTTAGAAATTTAGAACTTGACTTTTTTGTAACTTTACAAAATGGTATGTAGTTACAATTGGGAAAGGGGAAAAAATTTGTGATCAAGAATTTGCCTATAACGAAGAGGAACTACATGGCTTTCACAAAGATTCAATTTGTTGGGTATAGGCAGTTAGTAGCAGGAGAACTGAACAGAGCTCTAAGAAGTTCTAATTTTATCCTATTCCTCTTTCGTTTCCGATGAAAGAAGGCAGCAGTCATGCTAATAGTACCCGGGGAAATCCCTGTCCCCAAGTTAGTGATAAAATTATCCCTGAATAAAACTGAATAGGAGACATATCACTGACCAGTCTCTTGCATATCTGACAGTTCGTTGGCCTCTTGTATGAATGAATAGCAAACGAGTGTGGCACTTGAATTCTTCCTGAGAGAGCTGGCTCAATCCACACTGATCGCCCACTCCATGTAGCTCTTCTTTCTTTCAATGATGGCATGCTGTCATTTAGCGAGTTAGAATGCTGAAGTAAAACAGGGTCAACAACCTGTGATGACGGCCTCGGAAGGGTGTTGGTATTCGAAGGACTATTTACTATGGTGGAGCTAGTGCGATGTCTTGAGTCTGAACAGTTATTGGGTATTTTGTATGCACATTTCTTGTGATAATTACCGCCACATCCTGCAACGAAAGCAGAAGAGAGTGAAGAATGATCATCGCAGTAAATTTTCCAATTTAAGCAATTGGAAAGAAGAAGCCTGAAAAAATCAGGGCTTCAACGGGATTCGAACCCGTGACCTCCGCGTTACCGGTGCGTTGCTCTACCAACTGAGCTATGAAGCCACACATTGGGAGTGAGGTCAACTTATTGAGTTCATATCTCCCGTGAGGAGTGAAATGATGTGAAGTATAACTATATGAAATAATTCATTTTTGAACTGCGGTAGTAGATGAGAGTGAAGAATGATCATCGCAGTTAATTTTCCAATTTAAGCAATTGGAAAGAAGAAGCCTGAAAGCAGAAGACATTCATCGTTGACTGCACAGATAACATGTATGAAAATGAGAGACTGGAGAAGGCACTTAGTTTTGACAACAAAGACCTTAAAGTGGCTGTGTCCTGACCGTTTAGTTCATTTTTTTTTTGATAATTCCAGTGGCCTTTTTGGCTACAGTGTATATAATTTGAGAAATTAGTTGTGAATGGCAAAATTACAGCTTCGTGTCACACAAATAATGTCTCCTTAGCATTATACCAAACGTCACAAACAAGATAACTGAACTTTGAAAAAGGGTTAGGCTAACAAGTTATCAAAAAACCACGATTATAATCCGTTTCACTCTTCTTCAAGTTTGTCCATACGTTCCTCCTTTTAAATCTTAAGTCCCAAATGATGGACTGGGACAGACGGGCAACGTGAAACCACTAATCGCAAACCGCGGTTTGCCGTTTGCTGGAAGATGGCCAAACCCTGATCCTGAGGTGTCTAATGACTTTGACCGTGGCCTTCATACCTTCACATTTGAGTCCCTGTTTTACGAGGCCAAAAAGCATCTGACCACAAAAGTCACAAAATGTAGGAGATCTGTAGGAGTGGACCGTCAGAAGGTGTGGTCGAATGATTGTCTCATCCTCGGGAACTTTTGCTACAAAACAAGTGGCATTGAAAAATTATCAACAGAAAATAACGGTAACTAAAATTGTGCCCTATTAAAACTATCAACAAGAGATAAGCTAGGGGTAGGTGACTGAAAGGGGACTGTTGGAGCACAGAGGGTACCCATTAGAGCGATTTTCGTATGACCTTGAAAAATGGTTTCCGTAAGTGCTATTTGTTTTATCAGCCAATGGATGAAAAGAACAAAACATGGACTCTTCGTTTTCCCGCCAAAGAAAACCCTAATATGGAGAAGGCATTGTTCGATTGACCAATCGTGTTGCAGTATGACGTCAAAGCGATTTCTAGAAAGTTCTTCGGGCATGAAATTGTAATAAAAATTGACTTGACTTGACTTGAAGTTTTTTCAGCCGAACGTTAGCTTAACCAACCAAAAGCCAGGTGATTTTGTATCCGTTCGATAAACCAATCAAATCGCTTTATTTCCGTTCGTTTATTGTTTTTGTTTTGTTCGCGCGTTTTCATTTCAAGGTCATACGAAAATTGCTCTAACATAATACTTAAAGTAATACTTCTGCCACTATAATTATCAACATAAGGGAGCTTAAGCAACGAGGGCGGTGACGTCAACAAGAACGGCAAAAATGCAATAGGTTTAAATTGGCAAAACAACAACTCTGCCCGTGCATCACGCTTTTTTGTACATTATTTTGTTTGCCGTCACTCTACGACTACGACCTGAAAATGCCTAACTTCACTTTTTCTTTTCCTGAACTTCGATACAGTCTGTTAGAATTCAACTCCTGAAAATGCCAACATTTGACAAATAATTTACAGAAAGAGATGAACTTTGGAACAGCGCGACTACACATTTAAGTGACGTAACGGCCATGTAAGAAAAATTAATGTCAAGGCTGTTATGTGAAGATTCATGCACCAAACTTTTTGTATTGACGGCTGATGCCTTTCACGCAAGGATCGAAGGAAGGAGGGGACCATCCCACAAGTCCGCTGCTGGCTAAACAGTCTAATGCATGAGGCACAGACCCTTTGAAACCAGAGGCAGGTATTAGGGCTGCCGCTGGAGAGCCACATGCCACTGCCTCTCTACAATGTATCTGACACCTCCATTTTTCCTCTAAACTCAGCCTCAGGGAGGGTACTTCCCAGTACAGCTGTAACAGGCTAATAGGGATGTGCTGCTGGATGGGCTGGGGTTGCATTTTCATGAGTGGATTGACTATAGTGGGGTTACACTTTCACAAAAGTTACTAGAATGGGTATCACACTTCCCCGATTTTGGGTTAAGAATATTTTTTTAAAATCTACAATGTAGGAATTTGAAAAAATGTTTGAATTCATTAATTTTTTTTGATGACTGACCTATATGTACAGTGTACTAGGCTTTATAAGGCAGATGCATAAATAGACTTGCTGGCAAACTAAATTACATCTGCCTAAAGGTGACTAAGACGGGGTGTATAACTGGCCACACAATAGACAATACTGGGGTAGAGATTCTAAGAAGCCAGCAGTGTATAACCAGCAAAGATTGACCCCAAATAGCCTTCCCCTCCCCCTCTCCCCCTGGCTAGAACTCAGCTTAGTTTCAAATCTCTGGTTGCATTCCATTGGGATGATCCAGATCAGGATCAGTGATCCAAGATTACTTGGATCACAGCACATCAATTTGAAAGGAACTGATAAACAGGCCATCTGATAATATTACGCAATGGTGCAATTTCACACAATTGACCTCAAATCGCATCCGATCGCATAATTTGAGGAAAATCGCATAATTCGTAAAAAAGGAATTCTAACTTTAATTAAACATTTTCCCAATCTTAATGTCATTTAAGGTGATTTACCACTAAATAAAGCCTTGCAAGACATCTGAAACCTTTGATCGCGGTATCTGGGCAGCCATTTTGATCTCAGAGACAAGCAGTGTGGTCAGTGGTGTAACAACGTTATGTAATATTAAGCAAGGGTCCTTTTTCCTTTCTGGATCAAAATTTTTTAACTATTTTGTTTTAAAATAGATGTTTTATCATTCCTTTACATTCAAATTGCCTGTTAGACAACATTAAAGTGGTTTTTCTCCTTTGAAACCTGGTAAAACAATGTAAATTAGCCCTGACAAAATCACAATTTATCGCATAATAGTCCTATCTTATCGCATAATCTAACCAGAAAATATCACACAATTTCTGATTTTTTATCGCACCCAATCAGATGCCTGGATAAATCCACCCCGGAAAAGGATTCATTGCTTCATTGATGTACCATGGTCCGAGTGGTCTTGGATCACTGATCCTGATCAGGATCATAGAGCGGTTTTCACTTGACTGTCGAAAGTAATTGGTTTTGGTTTTGGTTTTGGTTTTACTACGCCCTTTGGTTGGCTAGTGTATTTACTTTGGTTTTGGTTTTAGGACAGTCAAGTGAAAACCGCTCTATCCCAAAGGAACCCAACAATAAGGATTTCTTGTTTAATCTTCTGCTACCATGACTCAAGTGGTATTCCAGCCACTTGACTCTTAAGTAGGTATTTGAAACAATTTTGGTCATGACAGTATTTGATAAATTATTAACATTCAAAATTTGCTCGACATCCAACATACAAGCAAAATTAGAAATCAAATCACACATATACAATCATGTACATTCTTGTGTACTGAATGTTAACCCTTGAAGTCCCACTAGTGACCAACAGCAATTTTCCCCCAACGATATCCATAGATTTTTAAGTAGGAGGTGATCACTGATAAAATGATCACCTTCAGAAAAAGCCAGATCTTTTGTCAAAACAAAGCAAAGAAATTCTTTAAACACAAAGTATAGAGATCAGTTTGGAGAATTTGCGTGTGGATATTGGGACTCAAAGGGTTGATAGGGCTTTCATGAACATAATATCTGAACATACCTGAAACAACCACTTCAATAACAGATGCCTCATTGAGCTGCTCCACACTTGTTAACTTTTCCAAGATGTTTGTTGAGGAGTAGTTATGTACAAACAGTATGACTTTATCAGCTATGCCAATACACGAGTGGTCCGAGAACTGGAATGAAATCAAACCAAAAAATACTTATTAAAATATAAAGAATCACCTACTGTAAAAATTTTACGAGTTTTTTCTGTATTTAAAACAGTAATTACGCACAACTTGCATTTTCCTAAGTAAGAATTAACAGGTTCTTACATAACAGCTGGTAATTCAGACCAATCCAAGCAATGCTAAGATTTATTTGTAGACCGGCATACAATAGATTAAGATACTTCTAGCCATGAAAAGCTTTTGTTTATATATGTAGCTAAAATAATAGAGTTGTTTCATAGAATGAATCACGCAACTACAAAAATACAATCAAGCTTTAAAATGTTGGGCAGTCTTATTTAGCCTACATGTAGCCCCCTCAAATGTTCTGCTCAATTCACCTTCTGAGGGTCAGATTTCAATTCAATTTTCAAACAGTACAAGTGAAAGGGAAGGAAAAAATATAAGTTAATGTGAACTTGAAATAGTGACTTGTAGTTCGTACAAGTACAGTATCTGAGAGAGAATGGGTTTGTTTACAACAAAGGTTATCAAAAGTCACATGAAACTACACATAAAATCTGATGCTCACCACCTGGTAAATATCTCCTTTATCTCAAACAAATCACTACAAATTCATCATAGGTCAAAACTTAGAGTAGTGACACTAGTCATTACATTTGTATCATTTTGCAATGATTTTTGGATATACTGGATTATGCCTGCATAATCTTCATCACAATGCCACTGACAGTTGTTTAATTAACATTGGCTACTGGTTAGGTTTAGGATTGTATTTTAATTCAAGATCATCATTGTTTTATTAATTTCAAAGTCATCTACACAATATGGGCCAAAATACCTCTCAGACCCGATAAATTTCAAGACAAAGTCTACAGACGACCTTAGATCTAACAATAGGTTTGTCTCGTCACCACCAAGAGCCAAAAAAAGACTTTGTTAGCAAACGAACCTTCACGGATGTGGCTTCAAAGCAAAGGTAGGAATGATTTGCCCTGCGACATACATTGTAAGAATTACCAACAATTTTTCATGCCTGGGGCATTAGGAATAACACATCATGTTGGCAAAAAACTCTTACTGCTTAGCATAATCATATGTTGTATTGCAGAGCTGAAACCCATGTACAGTAGATCCTCGATATAACAAACATCAGTGATCTCGGTGATTCAAGCAATCTGACTGGGTGTTTTGCCAAAGTTTCAGAGGTAGAAGTTTTTGAACATACAATGACATCCTAGTGCTGATGTTTTTGAAGGTGAGAAAAAACTTCATGGTGTTTAAAGAGGGTGATTTATTGTGCAGTGATTCACTGTAGCTGACTTTTTATACGCTTGAAACAACTTTTATCCCTACACAGAAGAGCGAGGACATTAATAATATTTTAGTCACCGTTTTGTGAACTCAGGATTTCCTTGCAAGACGAATTTTGCCAAAAAAGGGAAGTTAATTTATGAAGAAAACAAGGAAAGCTAGCTAATATTTTTTCCAAAATTGTACATGCCAGCAAGTAAACAATGCAAAAAAACACTACAGATAAACAACGCTCTCCTCAATCGTAGCCATCATTGACAGCATTTGCGAGAAACAACAAAAAATAGAATGGTGGCCTTAGTAATATTTACCTCGCCGCTTCACAGGTTAGTAAATATTCTGCCACTATTCACCTTGATTTCAAAGAATAATAGTTAAATATTCTTCATCCCAAATAATAGTTAAATTCATGGAAAAGGAGTCAATAACTCAATAACTTGTTTTAGCCAATACCAGCGAGAATGTACAACGTTAATAAAAGCACAGACATTTTAGGAACTGAATACCTTTGAAGATCATTAGACACTTGTGTGCAAAACATTTTTGGCGACAAATACATGGCACGGTTATCTCAATGGCTAGGCTTCCCAGACATTTTCTTTGCAAAGTAAGTGAAAGATTGTGTAGGACACAGGATAGACTTTTGCACATTATGCTCGCAATTCTTCGAGCATTTTAGTGAACCAAAGAATGATGCATTATTCCAGCATTTTAGTGGAATTTTTCCAAAAAAATTGTTTGTTTGTTTTTTTTTGAGAGGAAATGAATTTGAAAATATTTTTTAATGAGAAAATGAGCACTTAATGTCAAAATCTAAAACAAAGCTCAAATGTAACCCTTATAAAGCTGTTTAGACCATTATCTTTTGGTCTATGAAAAACATTAACTCAGATACTTTGTTGTTTACAATGAACATTAAAAAAGCCTCTGTACATGTATATGATAAGCAATACTGAGCATTATAGTGGAAAAAATGAAGCATCAGAGGGGAACCAAAAGCATTGTAAAAAAAACCTATCAGCAGAGGGCGAGGTGGAAGAGTGTCGTTTTGTTCCAGCATAATGACAGGCATTAAATGACAGTCTCCAGCCAAGCATAATTTTCAGCATAATGCCCTGGTATCATGCGGAGCTCTCACGTTAACTTGATGACAAAGAGTGAGTTTTTTTGCAGTCGCCACCATCCTTGGGAGTCTGAGGGGCACGCTTCTTCAGAAAGTTTCGGAGAAACTGAAATAGCTAATACGTGTTTTCCTTTATTCTGAGTGGAAATGTGCTGCCTTCAAGAAAGTATTTAGATCTCAGGTTTTGCTATAACTTAACAAAAATCAACACTTATGTAACAGTTTGAATTATCCAGAAATGATATTAACATGTTATGACACCAAACCTTTTTGCTGTACATGTACATGCTGTCACCAAGAGCAGGAGCAGGTACAATAGTCATTAAACCGACTGATTGGTGTGAAACAGAAAACAAGGAGTAAAATAATTATTATTATAGCCTGTAAGATTGAAAATTATTTACGTACCCAACTAAAGCAGCAATCTTCAACTTCTCAATTCAGAGACCTCAAATACATGAGAAATAAACATTTGGCTGAATCAGCGTGAGAGCGCACGATTGGATTGGTTTGCATGAGTTTAATGCTTAATGAGTGAGACTTGAGAGCTCTGTATCATGGGTAATATATGCAAGGAGACATAATACTTGATGTCAGGAGCATGAACTGATTTTGCAGGAAAATACCCAACGTAGTCTATCACTTATGTTACAAACAGCTGCTCAGAACTCATTGTTAAAAATGCAGCTCAGAAATTTGTCGCTCAAGACAGCAACAAATCATGCTATAACATCGTCTGTGTTTTAATGGTTTCTAATATAAATGTCACCTGATGCCCAAAAAAACCTGTCATCAAGCTTTATGAAGCATCAGCGGGACACTGGCCAAAGTCATTTTCTCTGGGAACAGCCTAAGATACATTCTACCAAGTGAATTAATGAAAACATTTTACAGACATCTCATATCCAGCATCATCTGGTATTTTCTTATAACTTAAATGATAAGCATAGACTACAATACTAGCCACTTATTAATATTTTATTTGTCTGTTATCAAACATGTAGACTACAGATTCGGCAAAACTGTGGGTAGCAATGCAATGGACAAATAGGAAAAAACTCAAATTGTTAAATTTAACAAATAAACTATATAGCTCTTCCTAATAACCATTTAACAAGTTCAATTCAAACAGCTGCTTTGAGAAAGTGAAAACTTTAATTTTCACTAAACCATCACGCAAATTAACTAATTTTGGTCATCATTTTAGCATCTGGTTTACCTCTTTGCCCCTTAAACATTACTTTTTGAACATTACTGTAAGCGAGAAATTAAGATAAAAAAATAATCACTGATAATTCAAATAAACTGGTCAATATTTTTTTAAGATGAGGCTAAAATATGCATTCTTAACATGCTGCAAGCTAATTTTCGTTATCGCGTGTTTTATATGCATGACGCTACTGTTTCACAGGGCACATGTTATTATTTTAAAATTGAAGCTACAAGTAAGTATGCAAAACTCGTTCGCTGTATATTTTTTAGAGAACACAAATGTGTAACCCGAGTTTATTATAATAGCCTTAAGCATCGAATCCATTAGAAAATAAGAAAATATTTTTCGAACAGTATGGAGTAGTTTTGTTCTAATCTATATTCACCCGAATGGCCCCTTTTTACAACAGGAAGTTCGAATTAGTAGGAACAGCAATATCTGCCTCGATGCTCGATTTTTTGTCTTTCTTCTGCATTTCCAAATTTTTCCCCAGCAAAAAACGTCGGACAATATCAATAATACGACTTCTGTGGAACGTACATGAAAAATCGGCAATAAACTACATATTCAAACGCAATTTTACGGCTGATACTTGCTTGGGCGTCGTTACGATCTAAGATCTTGACAACATTCGAAACTAATGCCTCGATTGTAGATCAATCACTTCACATTTAATATACAATATGGGTTTTTAAATGGCAGATTTTGTACTCTTGACAGCGACGTAAATTATATTTCTAGATCCATTCTTCTTCGTTAAGGGACACGTTTTCGAAAAAAAATTTGCCGGGCAAAATTGGTTGCCAATAATATGGTAAGCTCAAGTCTTGCTTGGGTACCCTTGGTTGAATGAACTGAAAATATATATATGACATTGTTTGTATGTTATAGCCGCCTGTTGTTTCTTTCGCAGCCACACGAACTGGTTTGGTTGAGTTGAGATATCTTGCCCGCGAAGTAGGGTAAAGATTGTGTAGCATACAAGCTTAAGATGATAACAAATAAATACAAAATGATTTACTGAGAGTGGCCTTCACGAGCTGTCATTTAAAGCTTATGCCTATACAATCCGTTAAATAAACTAAAACAAAAAATATAACCCTCGCGGTCAGGGGAATTTTAAAGGGATGGTGTTGAATATAAAGAACAGCGGTTAGATAAGCTCAATGAAAAATAACGTTTGAAAAACATGCAACGCCGATTGATCAGATCAAATCGTCAGTCAAATTGTCGTTTCCAAATGACAAACTCACACTACGAGAGACCCCAACCACGAGCATAAGATTGAGATTTTCAAATCAGTGACAATTTCACGGCACTGAGAGCACCTGGCCTAAGTAGCGGGTTAGCGATTTGTACCTTTTGGTCGAGGAACGAACATGCCAGTTCCTTCAGAGCGTTAAGATCTTTCCCTTCAAAACCGTAGGTCTCCCGAGCCAGACCGCACTGCAAAGTTATTCCTCTTGACCGACGTGGACCGTCCTCAGTCATGGTTCTTCTACATACAAACCATGAAAGGACTTTCTGTTAACATCAATCACAATCAACGTAAAAAGGCGACAAATTTCGCTGGCCAAAGAGTTGCTACTGTCGCTGACTTAAAATATTTCGCGGACAATATGGGCGACAACATTGTCACGTGACAGGTGCATATTGCCCGGCAAAAAAGTGAAATGCTCGAAAATCATGAAACGTGTTTCCGGTGCCATTAACTTCCGGATTTTTTATTTGTCCCACTCACTCTGACGAAAAATAATGACATGAAAAGATTAAATATTGGCAAAAAGGAAAAAACTACCTTCGCAAAAATCAACAATCTGACTATTTATTTTGTGAACTATAAATTTTCCACGTGCAGTGGGAACACGTGCAGCGTGCGTAGCGTGATATATGATCGCTCCCTTTTCGAATCTAACCTGCACACAATTTCTTCTGCCGAAATAAAAACAGTAAATTTATGATTTCAGTATGTCAGTCATTCTTGCGAAGGGTGTAGCGTCTAACAGAAACCGTGACAAAAGACGTTATTAGGTTAAAACAATTAACTTATGACGCAGGTTTGCTTGTCTCTTGATGACGTCATCACAGGCACCATTAACCGAACCATTTACGTCAGAATTGCTCTTAAAAAAGAACACTACTGGGGGGGGGGGGCCTGACAATACTACATGTACCATCTATGTCTATTAATCTGTGCATTTACTTTTACACATAAAACACGTTCCATTATATTTTAATAACCTTCTCTGAATGAAATGAGAAATTTCAATGAATAATTATCTAAAAAGCTACTTTTGGAGGATACCAAAATAGACCTTGCGCAAGGTGAAAAGACCTACTCCGATTAATTACATTAAACTTGGCCGCAAATCAAATGGGAATCTAATAACTTTAATAGTTTTCGATCGAAGAACGGTAGGACTTCTGAAATGTTTGATATCTACAGGCATACGGGGCTATACAAGCCAGGCAGATGTTGATCAGCTTGGTCAAATGTGCATTGTGTTGTGCTGAACTCATTACAATAAATGGCCCTTTCCCTAAATTGTGGCCGGTTCATGCCCGCGTTTGAACTCTCTATAATGGAATATACGCGGAGGCTCTGTCCGAAAGGGGTACCTTTTTTAGGTTTCAGGTATATGAAAGGGTAGGCATTTCATTAGTTGACGTATATGAAACGGTAGGAACATCATTTCACTCTGTAATAAGGTCCCAAAAGGGCTACAAGATGCGCATTTCATGGCTGTGAAATGTTGAGAAAACGTTCTGTTTTTCAGTATTTTATATATTCAAACTCCCCTTCCCGCTCCCCACGTCCAACTTGGGAGATATATCATATTGAGGTAATCTGTTTGAAGATCTATGTATTCTAAAAGAGAACCCGGAAGGAGCTCATTATTTATTTCATACTATGCAAGCTGTAGGCTGTATTGTACTTAAGTATTTAAATAATGAAATCAGCTGAGTGGTCCCTTGCCACGCGACTACCTCTTTCACTTAAGTTTGTGACGGGTGAAATGTTCAGTAATTGTTTGGCTCAACTGATTTTGACGCACATGGAAATTTTGATCCTTGAAGATTCTGGAGCTTTTCATAAGATATCTTATTTATCGGATCACTTACTAAAAAGGCGTGGGTGTTCGTTGTAAAATTGTGGATCGATATTGGCACGGCTTTATAGGGTGCACACTTTAAAATGGCTACCCTGCGAGCAGAGGCCCTTCGAACTTCCCGACTTATCTAGGAAGATCGGTTTCCTGCCTCGCTCAAGTCTTATGGTGACCATCTGTTTATAAGGTGGCTTCGGCCTCCGTAGGTTGACGAGTTGATATGTATGTCTCATCGTACAGAAAAAAGACAAACCTCTTATTACGAGTCCTACCGAACCCGCTTAAAGCTGATACCACATGGTACCCAGGCTTGGTGATAGTACCACGACACGAATCCCTTCTTATCATACAATTTCTGCGAAATAGGTATTTTTCGTGAGATCTGCTTAAAGTCTTCTTCCATATATGTATTTTATTTTATGGAGGGGAAATTTGAGCAGATTTCAGGAGGTTACGCGTGTGCTGATGCTAGCCTATGAATGACGCTTGCCCTGATCTTATATATAGCCATAAATGCTAAGCTATTGAAGCATGCCACCCTAGGGAAAAAAGCTCAAGCGTCCAGTCATTGTGAAGTGATCAAATCAAGTGTAGATTGTAACTCGTCAATTGAGTTAAAATACTACTCTAGGCCTTTAGGAGAAGATGTACTATCACTACCGTTAATGCTCTTTTTTTAGCAGGGCGGGGTTAATTAGTTGTTGTTGGTCTGACGACTACTAAGACAAAGAAACTTTGTAGTGGCACTTTTCTCTTACTACGGCTTACTGGTGTCATCTGATCATTTCGTGGATAAACTCTGGCCGGTCTAACCGAAGAGACCTCGAAATGGGGGTACATATACAGCTGGCCATAGTGTTTTCCAACCTCATTTGAATTTTGCTGAAATTGCATTGATGTAGAAGCCTTTGTTGTAACTGCCCGTGCCTCGTTTTTGTTTGGATAATGTTGCCTGCTAGTCGACGTCTCTGTAACATTTCCCAGAGAAATAAACTAAAGGCTCTTTCACGAGGCTTATGTTCTTTTCTGTTGCTTACTTTTCTATGTCTTCTAGTAGCTGTGATATAATGGTCGCTTGAGCGGTGAAAACAGCAGACGTACTGTCCAGACGTTAATGGCCAGTTTCGGTGTGGTCGCAGTGCAAACTCCAACCCTTCAGTGGGGGATCCATAGGATATTGGGTGTGGTCTTAGGGCGAAATTCACCCCTTCAAACAAATAGCACATACCAGCTATTCTAGACACCAAATCCCCTCAGACACCCTGAATTGCCTATTTCCCAACAACACTTTCCTTCCAAGGACATATTATTTTTTCCAAATCTCCCAGCCAACAAAAATTTGCCTGAAGAACAGATATTTTGAGGAACAGTTCCATTGAGTGCCCCTTACTTACTTACTTATATTTTAATCCCCGTTGTGTTACAACGATACAGGATGCTAAAAGAAGAATGCCAATTAAAATACATTTTACAGGATATCGGTCTGCACACTTACAAATTCACAACTGCCTAATGTACACACATATTACAATCCAAAAGATACTAGAAAAAACAAAAATAAATATAATGTAATATTAAAATAAGGTTTCATAGGCCAGTTAGGGTGGCAGAAGGTTCTAATGATAAGCAGGGCACATACTTGGAAGGCTTCAGGACTGGTAGCAGTGACGGCTGTAGTAGCTAGGCAGATCGTTCCATAAAGGGATTGTGCGAGGGAAGAAGGAGTACTTGTAGGCATTGGTGTTGGTGGCGACGTGTCGAGGATCAGCAGGTCGGACGGAGCTAGGGATGGGGAGGTAGATGAGGTTGTTGATTGACTTGTAAAAGGTAGTTGCAGTAGCCAGATGTCTCCTGCACTCAAGTGTCTCCCATCCAAGGGCCTCTCTCATTTGTGTTACGCTGCTGTATCTCGAATAATCCCCAGTGACGAACCTTAAGGCGGTGCGTTGTACTGCTTCGATAGATGCAATGTGTTGCTTCTCGTAGGTGCTTTTTACAACGGAAAAATGAAATAATATAAGAAACTTGAAGTTTCATGGACCTAACCTACAAAAACATCACTCGTAGCGAGGACAGACTATTTTAATTCTTGTCCCTCGGATATGCGTGCCCATTGTGCCGCTCTTGTAGTTACTCGGACCACTGGTAATTAATGCCGTGGGAGAGGTCTCAACCACCGGGAAGGGGGTACTCCCTTACAATGGCCTTAACCTGGAGAGAACCCATGATGGGCTCCTTATCAGGTATCTAAAAGGGTAGAGATTTACTTACGAGCCTTATTGAAGTATAAACAAGGATAGGGTGAATCTGACATTTCGGTCTGTAAAAGGACCTATTGTAGCTATATATATTGGGCTAACAGGCTGTGCAAAAGTCAAGAAAGCTTTAAGGTTCAGTGATTAGTTCATAATCTTTAAAACAAAGTGCATTTGCAGCAGTTAAAACATGTTAAAAGGGATGCGGCGTTCTTAACTGGGTATTTGAAAGGTGTACCATTTGTCAAAATAAGGTACTCGAGTACCTTTTCTGTAAAAAATAGTGCATAAAAGGGCAAGGGATTGGACCTCAGTGCTGAGCCTTCCCGTGTAAAACATATTACGTACCCTCTTCTCCCACAGAGTCACAAACTCACGAAGTCCATTTATCGTCATTTCGAATTTGGCTTTTGTTTTTCGTTGACCAAGTTTTTTTCATTATTCAAGATCGCTGAATATTGGCCTCGTGAGGAGCCTCACCCAAAAATTGAAAACAAGGAATTACCATTGTTAAAAAGAACCAATCAGGAAAGACCTTACGAGCAGCTCCAATATTACCGAAGCAAAGTGCCTCATGGGAAATATAGAAAGTGGAGAGTGGGAGTCACATTTGTGAAGTTCCAATTGGATGGACAAATTAACTTTTTAAACAACAAAATTTTCCCAAACGCCAACATTCTACATTTTTATTTGAGCCGTACAAGTAATTACAAGCCAAATATGACGCAAGTGCCAAGCGTAATGCCAGAAATCAAGAGTCCTCCTGCAAGAGAAATCACTCCTCTGCATCAGCTAATGTACTACAGCTGTATGTACTCGGCATAAAGTTACTTCAAGAGCAATCCTTATATTTATATCTACATACTGGACTCTACTGGTCTGATAACACTAACAGGAACATTGTTTAAAACGTACAGTGCAAACTCTGTTCGAAATATGTGAGAGACATCAGGTAAAATCCCACTTGTTCTGTTTATACAGCCAGCCAAGGCAAACGTACAATGGGGTGAATATATGGTCGAGAATTGAAAGGGGATAATTATAAGGGCGTCAACTATATATCGTTTCTTGTATCCAAGATGACGACCCTTACAATCAAAATCCTGGATTTGCCCTTGACTGTTTGTATTACAGCAAGTCAATACTATCAACTCTACAGAGAGAAGCTCAGATTGTCAATGGGATATAACCAGGTTTGGATGAAACGCTTTCTAGTGCCCCGAATAATAATATTTCAAATCAATCTCATAAGGGATAACGTGAAACCTGAATCGGCATGCCGATATCCACCCATCCTAGCACCAAATTTGCAACGTCACGAAATGACAACCAAGAAAACATGGGTTATAACTTTGATAATTCTCTTCCCTTAATTTTTCTTCGACATAAAATCGGTGAATGAAGCAGCATATTAGAGGCAAGATAGCCCCCACAACGTTCAACACCCTATTGTTTACAGATAACACCTCAGACACTCGGGTGTTGTGTAAACAAGTTAGAGTCACACTTCCCGTTTAAAACAACACATGAAAGAGTGGCATGCTTTCAATGCCATTTGTAGTGAGCGTTTAGATGAAGTCTATTTGGAAACAACCAAACTGGATTGTTTTCCTAAGCGTTTGTGGCAGTTCTTGTTCATACTTTCCCACGAAACCATATATATTTGAGTAAATAAGTATTACTTTGCAGGAGTAAATAATTTTGTCATTTGTATTTTTCAAATTGTCTGGTTTTTGAGACCTCTTCAGAACCAACATCAGTTATGATTGGCAAATACCATAAAATACAAGCATTCCCTACTGGAACCCTAGTGGAGTCCTGTGAAAACCAGCTTACAAATTTGGCTTTTTTGCACACAAAACGGCGCAAAATCTTTGACGCAGAACTGCAAACATAACACTCTCTCGCAAGCAGGTTGCTCCGAGTCGTGCTCGCCCAGCGGATACATGAAACAAGTAACTCTTTAGTTCAAGGAAGATTACTAATTTAAGAGGGCTGTGGACTTTAAAAAGACATGTAAAATACGCTCGGATCACGTGTCACAAGGCGTACCCCTACGCTAAAACAAAGCTCTCAATAGGGTTTAAGTGAGAACACTGGTCTAGGTTTTCATTGTAAGCTAAGAATTCACAGCCTTTATTAACACATACCTTAGAGTTTTGTTAAATAAACTGATCATATAATTTTTTATCTAGCTGGTAAACTGAGACTCTAGCACCGCCATTTAGACCCTCCAAGGGACCGACCATTTAACTTTTGAGGGGGGGGGGGGGGGGGTGTTAGAGAAATGGTTGGGGTAAGAATTTTTTCCCTAAACTTCTGGAGACAGAAGTTTTTCCCCCGGCACACAACGATGGAAGATTTTTTCTTCCAGCATTATACACTATGAGAGATTTTTTCACTGAAGGAATTTTCTCCCCGGGGATTTCCTTGCAAAATTTTTTTCCCTTAAAATCAGTCTGCACGATATTTTTTTCTGAAATCACCCATACCCCCCCGCCCCCCCACTCAAAAGTCAAATGGTCGGCCGACCCCTAAACATTCCTGGGATTGGAATTCAGAATGTCATTGAAGTCCAAAAAAAAAATTGCAGCCTTCTGTTAGACGTCAACCGAAGCTCACAAAGGACTTTCAAAGTGAGAAAATCTTGTGTAAGCCAAAATAGTTTCCTTCTTCCTCCTCTTTTTATTTTATGTGGTCACTCCCTTATGGACCCATGAAAGATTTACACCAACAGACAGTTAAAAGAGAGAAGGAATGGGGAGGAGGGGTGGGTATGAACGAGCGTGAATGAGCTAGTCTGACTACCAAGTTATCAGATTTTGGTCACCGGTAACAACAAGCAATCAGTCTAAAACCATTTCCGGACAAACAAAACCACTGACTTAACAGCACCAGAGTAAAAACTTGTCAAATAATTAATCCTTATTAATTCATCAATGATCTCCAAGTTTTTCCACCAGCCAAAGGTCGAGTAAAGCCACTTGAATATAAACAAACAGTTTTGAATAGGTAAACTTGAAAATCAACGCATTTGTGGGGGTAGGATCCCTTGGCATGAAGATTGCAAGTTTATGACGTCTTCTGCTTCTGTAACTTGGCTGGTAGCTTGGATTTAGCCCTAAAAGGAAGTCAAGAGAAATATGGAGTCTAGTAACAGTCCTCTTTCAATGTTAACTATTCAAGAACACAGAATTCAAGGTTGTTCTTCAACTGCACTTATCCCGTCACACACCATACTAACAGTTTAGACTGTATCAGAGGATGCTCTTGAGGAAATGGACCGCAACTAGGTAATACTGTTACTTTATCAGAGTTTGGGGTGTTGCTGCTTATACCAAATACCTTAGTAAAATTGATAGGTTATTGAGAAGGGCCTTTCGATTTGGGTATATTCAACATGAAACATCGATTCAACAGGTTATTAAAGACAGGGATGTGAGGCTCTGGAAAAGTATTACGGATACTTTCTCGCATCTCCTGCAGGATCTTCTCCCCCCACTTAAGAACAGGGATCTATGCGGTAGGTTGCATCCTTACTAGATCCCACGTGTTAATACAGAGAGGTTTAAGAAATGCTTTGTAAATAGATGTCTCTTTGATTCTAAATACATTGTACTTAAGACTTAGACAGTTGTATCTTCATTTTTTAATGGAACTTGTGAGTTTTAACGTTTGTTTAATATTTGTCTATTTATTATTATTATTATTATTATTATTATTATTATTATTATTATTATTACCATCATTATTAATGTAGGGGATTCTTAAAAAAGTTAAAGGCAAACACAAGCCATGAAACACACATTGTTGGTGTTCATCCCTCGTTTCTTTAACGCATTAAGTACCAAGGAGTATTGCTATCTCTCCTGGATGGGATGCTATTCCATCATAGGGTTACCACCGACAACATGGTGCCAGTACCGCTTTATACATGAACACCTGGGACATGTCAAGAGAGAGATAAAGTGCAACAATTAATTGTCTAAGGAAAGAACGTGACCACAAGTCTCCAACCCAGACTTCTCAGTCCTTGCACCTCCACAAGCCTTGACAATAGGTGATCACTACACTCTACATAAAGAGTGACTCGTCCAAGGCTGCAGATACTTTCTCTTCCTAGACAGGACTAGCCCAAGGCTGCAAATAATTTCTCTTCCTAGAAAGGATGTGTCTGACCAAAATAATTACCCTTTTAAATCTGACAAACTGGAAAAGTTTCAAGAACAAGTTAAACTGAATTAATTTTAATTCGTTTTAGTCAAATGCAAATCTTCAGCTTCACATTTTTTGTCTAACAATACTTTGGAGCTTGTCTTATGATGGGCAAATTTTAGTCTGACTGAGTCTAATGATCCCCTTGTTATTTGCAGCTCTCCTGACCATTATTTTACTGAAAATTTGCAGAAAAAGAGGTTTAACTGCAACTGAATGACTTACTGTTCAATCACGGAAGAGATTTGCGTACGAGCAATTGACATATATTCATCAACTTTTTCCTGTGAATCAAGAAAAAATATTTAAGTAATCTAACAATCCCTTAACCTTTCTCCTGAATGAGATCTCCACATTTTGTCCGACAGGCACCACAATAAAACAAGATCTGGGCTGGGGTGGGCAATTTCATACAAATCATTGTATGAAATTGGTTTACAAGCATAACGATACCATGTGTGTAATAAGCACTTGAAAAGCTCGTAGAGCAATGGACCTTTTTACCTTCTTTGTTTTGTTTAAAATCTCAATTCAGTCCATGTGATGGAATTTGCTTTTTGCCTTTCATAAATTATGCATACAAACATTCACGAATAACACAACAAAATCATTTGGAAGAAACAGTCCTCTAGCTTAACTATACATGGTCTGAAGTAGTCAAAAATACAACTTCCCCAACCTCTTAAGTGTTTAATTGGACATACCTGATGATCCTCATACAAGCGAGGCAGAGAAAACAGGAGAATAAAATCTAAAAAAGAACCACACACAACCAAACAAGAAGTTAAAACTCTTTACTCTACTTACAAGCGGTAGTGGCAAGAACAAAATTGAAAAAGAGGCATTTGCTTTGCAAAGGTTTCTTCATAATAATACTCACCAATGATAATGAGGGTAAGTGCATTAAACCAGGCACCAACATATGACAGAACCCACAAGAGAAGTCCAAACTGAAAGAAAGAAGCGGTAGTGAAACTCTCAGAATCCAGCGTGAGTTTTGAAAGAATGCATAAGACACCTTATTTAAACAATGAATGCAAGCCTGGTAAAAAAATAAGGATTTTGAAGGGGCTCAAACAACACTGACAATACATTACCGGTATGATCATCTAACAAAACAAGTTATTGTGAAATTCTGTAAATAGGCGCCTTTCAACACCTGAATATATGCCCAAAAGTTCAACACCCCCTAAAAGGTCTCTTACATACATGTATATAAGCCCCCAAAAATTGGAATCGCCCTCACAGAGAAAACAATAAGAAAGTTGTACAAGGCAAGCCCAGAAATGAGTTTTGCCTTGTTGGGTTTCTATAACTATGAACTACACTAACTACACTGTAACAGTGTAGTTATATAGGATCATACAGCGTACTATGTAATTTGGGATGCTCAAAGGTGTTGCAGACACCACTGTTCATGGTTAGCCTTGTGCTGACTAGTACATGTAAGTTCATTCAAGCCCTAGGATCTTAGTTCCCAAGGAAAACAATTTTGCGTTTCCGTACCCCACAGAGATCAGGGGAAACCATCCGTAACAATTTTTTGGCTCGGAGAAAATTCAAGGGAACCCACCTCTTAAATATTTTCAACTTTTGGACGTCAAATTTTTTTCTTGGCCCTGGAAGCCATAAACCAGTGATGTTCAATGCACTTTGGAAATGATTCAAGATGACAAACAACAGAAACAAGATAGATGCTAATCAACGTTGAGTTTTGTATATAACCCGAGTCATAACTAAGAATTGCTCTACTAGTCAAGATTGTGTGGGAAAAATAGTAAATTTTTGTAAATTGATCCTTAAGGCTGAAAATGTCACTGGGAAACTATTTTTCAGTTCCGTTTTTTTAAGGACCAGGGTAATGACACAGTACCGCAAACGATCGTTACTGTGAAATCCTAGGGCTTGTTCATTTAAGTACAGCCATATGTAACATGCACATTCCCCTTCAATAATGAGGCCCCTCTGAATACAAGCTAGTGAAACTTATTTTCAGAATTGCATGGTATGGAAACTTATCAGCCAGAGGTCACAAGTATGAATCCCACTGAAAGGCAGAAATTTTTGCGCTTGCTGCTTTGCGAAATAAACTGCAATACATTGCAATGTATTTAAACTGCCGTCGACTCCCACTAACTCGAACCTTCAAGGGAAATTGAAAAAAGTTCCAGTTATCAGGAGTTTGAGGAAACGACCAGAAGTAAGGAAATAAGCAAATCGATGGGAAGGAAAGGAAATTAAGCAACAAAGTATACAGAAATGGACACGGAATTTGAACTGGAGTGATAAAAAAGTAAAGACAAATAATTTACTTGGTTGTTATGAAATAAATTCAATGTTTCGGACTTCAGCACACGGTTTTTCCCGACTTGTCACGCACTTATAACATGGTTCAAACTATTGAGAGTAAAATTGTATAGAAAGGAGCTGAAGGGGAACAAAAATTATTTCGAGTTAACAGGAGGTTTGAGTTATTGAGGGTTCGAGTTACCGAGGGTAAAATTACAGTAAATGTACAAAGGAAATCCAGGGGAAATCGACTTTGGTTCGAGTTAGTGGGAGTCAACTGTAAATAAAAAGGTTACATGATCGACTTCACACATTTTACCTTGATGGAGTCAACAATATCCTCCACTAAGAAAAGCCGCTTTAACTCCTTGGTAAGCTGGTTTATCTGGTCAATGCTAACTTCCACAACTTCCACAGCCTGCAAATGAGGAGTTAACAAAAGCAATAAAGTTCAAACATCGCATTAATAATAATTACTTTTCTTTTTATTGCATTTCTCTTTTATTGCAAGTACTTGTAACAGATAATTTGTTACCTTTTCTTTAGGAATGTCAACATCTCTCTCAAGAATTGTCCTAAAATATAGCACAAAGCATTGTTTAGTTAATGCATTTGGTAGTAGGTTGGCAGTTGATAAATTTTCACAATCTACTACCTCACAAGGCTCAATTTCATGAGATTTTTTAATAGTAATAGCAATAATAACAATAATAATTTACTGTTCTTATATTAGTGATAGTACTAATAGTAACAACAACAACAACAGCAGTAGAAAAATTGTTGAGGTATTATTGTATCCCCAAGTGCCATTAGCCCTAGATCAACAAAACAAATGAAAAGAATAATTCTTGAAACAAAAATTGCAGACACATACAAGGAATAAAAAAGTAGGCCCATTGGCCACAAGAAGTGCTCAAGAAGCGACATGAAAGATCATGAAAAGAGTTAAAGTTATCAAATCCCTGGAAATATATTATCAGTAAGTGAGGAATCTAAAAGATAGCACCACCAGAAAGAGCATATAATCCATAAAATAATGAACCCATTCAGTAAGACATAGCAGTACATTATAAGAGCAAACATCCCTCTGCTTCCCTGCAATGATGGCTTGGTTCTCAAACAAGACGAAGAGGCCTTCTACCAATCCCTACAATTTTAGCAGTTTGTATTTTTTAGTATGGAACTATGCCTTTAAAACAGGAGCCTTTCATGCACTTACTTAAATGGATTATCAGTTCCTGTTTTCTGTATTGCACCCATGACAGTCATGCCAACCCTATACAGCAGTGACACAGTCAGCAATGCCATGGAGAAGAATGTTACCACACTCAGGAATGTGTACATGGTCAGTGAAAACAGCAGCACCAGACCGGTTACCACCACAATCCCAGTCTTTTTCAGACAGCGCCAGTAGATCAAGTCAATAACTAAAATAAAGTGGTAATTAAAGTAAGGTATCTTTAATGGTATAAGGCCTGTTCACACAAGCAAAAAACTTGGAATGACTAAGAAATATCTGAACCCATTCCATTAAAAAAAAGGGCCATAGATGACTAAAGTTCACTTTCATAACAGAATTGATAATGTCGGTTTCGTAACTCATTTCGGTTTCCTTTGATATATTAAAAACATCAACGCTAAGCTCCAGCAAAGTGTTGATTTTCATTAAAAAACTGTGTAATTAGTTTTAAATGCTGTTGCCTCAGTTTTAACAGAGCACCTTTCCCCCTCCCCCTCCCCCGAAAAGGAAAAAATTATGAAAGTCATATGTAACAAACCTTTCAATCCAAAGGGTTTTTTAATTTTCTTAAATGCAGGGCAATTTTAAACAGGCCTTTAAATACCCACTTCACATTTAGAAGTAAGGAAGAAACATTATAAAGCAACATGTTAAATTTCCCAACAATGTCACTATGTCTAAACAGTAAACAGAGAAATGCATCAGAGAACACAACATTTGCACACAATGTATACTAACATAACTAAAGAAAATATTCTTTTGTATGATTCATGCAACATGAAAGTTTCCCATGATAGGCACCCATGGATGACATTAGTTTTTAACTAGCTGAACACAATACAAAAATCCTTCCAAAGAACACGACTAAAAAGCTGAATATTGCAAAGAAAACATGCAGAGTACACACAGCAGCAGGTGTAAGGACTTTGAAGAATCTTGCATCTTTTAACTTGCAAGCTTTGATTATTTTGTGTCAAAAAAATAATAATGAAATTTGTATCTGTCTGGTTGATTTGACGTTTATTAAGTGTCAGCTTACGTGAAATGACATGAAGAAAAGGGATTGAGGTTATTTTAAACGCCCCACCCGAAACTACAGAGTTGAAAACAATAAATATTCCGGCGAAGTTATAAATAATTCAGTGTGACATGATCGACAAAGTAATCATGTGAACCAAATGGATGAATGAAGAGCATTTTCTGATGAAAAAAGTAAATGAAAAAAGACATATCTGATTAAATTGGGAAGATTACATCAGTTGCAGACCCAAATATATAAAATGGCCTTGCTCAACCAAGAATTCACTAGTACCCTTTTTGATTTGATATCACCACTGGGCCACGAGGTTTTAAAATCGTCATAATTATGAGATTTAACTTCAACTGCCCATTCGTTTGTGGTGCTGGTTTGCTATTTAGTGAGTGAATGCTGTTGCTAATCAACTAACGAATTGGGTGCGCCCGAATATTTATTAACTCCTTGCATTTTCCGTTTGGAAGGCAGCGCCCAGCGGCCACAAAGAAAACAGTCGATAATTTGGAATAATACAGTTTTCAATCGCCGTCCATTCGTACCTACTGTAATCACTGTATATTTCTGATGGTTTCTCCAACATTTTTTTCTTCTGTCGCTATAATTTAACGGCGATTGAAAGTTTATGTTATTAGTCAAGTTAAAAACTGTGCAGGATGATTGAAGTACCGTGCTTGCTACTAAACAAGTTATCTAAACGCAACGTACAGTAACTTGTCTTCAAACTGCACAATTTGTTATTAAACTGTACTTCTCTGATCGACTCCATGTTCCTTCATCCACCGAGCAGGGCGGCTTGTTAGCTCTGGAAAATAAACAAAGAATTCATTTTGAGCGGACTGACACGAAGGAAACTAATTTGACTTTCACACACCCGAGAGTGTTCGAGCCTTCCCATGACTTTCTGCTGGTTCGATTGAGGCCAAAGCACTTTAAAATATAAGTTTTCCAAAACGTCTACCCAAGCGAGACAAAAAGACATAAGGTAGGTGGCAGTATAGGGGATATTCTATTGCACAAAGTACGAGCTAAACCAGCCACAAATATAAACGTTTATCGTAAGCTTAAGTGTGCTTACAATCTTTGTACAAGCTAACCTTTGGTAGCAAGGATCGCTTCGTCAGGTTTTTCTTCGGTTTCTGTTCTGTCTGTTGGAAGATCTTCGACAGCTGGCGTGTCCTCTTTTTCATCGGACACGTTTTCAATATTTAGAGAAGGTTCTTCTTCTTCTTTCGCTGGTTCATCGAATGGGGGCGTCGTGGACGACACATCTTGATTTTCAGTGCCCGTTGAATCGATATCCAGCAAGTTGTCTGTTTCTGGAGGAGTAGAATCCGACATAATGAAAATAAATATCCACGAAACTGTCTAGCTTATCTTCCACCAACTATACAAGCTAATTCTGAGTCACGCGGCTCAGAAGATTGAATCTTACGCAAGAAATATGATGAAAGTACGAAATTTAGCAATGATGGAGGTTCGATGTTTTCAAAAATCACACTGGCGCAATTTTTTACGAACGCGCCATATTTGGAAAGCGGATGTAAATAAGCCAATCAGAGAAGCGATCTGAAATCCAGTTCTTTCAGCCAAAAAAGGAAATATCAAAGTTCAAAGCTTTTGGTTTCAAAACCGCGCTCTGCTTTCTTCAACGAAAACTCGAAAAAGGCCCCTAATTATTTAACTTACAAATTATATCGCATGCTAATGGTATTTATATGACTTTTCATCATAGTTTAGAGAGAGACCCATACACAGAAGACGTAAAAGAACTTAACTAAAGAGTTCGGTTTAACTTTCACTGATTTATATGAGCCGAAGATTGTTGTTGTTGTTGTCGTTTTAATTTTGCTTTGTTTTATTTTGTTTTTAGGCCTTTTTTTGAAGCAGTAATCCATTCCTCTCTCTGATTGGCTACTGTCGTAACAAAATTAGCAACCCTTGTGTCACATGCTCACAGGCAAGCTCCCATGCCGCATCTCACGTGCTTTCTTGTTTCCAACCTCCCCTCAAACTGTGGTTCCGCTCAGTCTGGGAAAATCATAACCCGGAATGGATTTTGCGTTTCTGACCTTTACAAGAATCCAAAAATGGTTTTTGAATCTGAAGAATATAATCCACACTCGGAGCGGAATCTTCAGCTCAAATCTAAATGAGAAGGTATTTTGAATTTTGGTCTTTCTGATTTGTCCATTTTTGGGATACGGAATAATTCGGCTTTTACATCCAAAGTCTTCTGTCTGTCGCTTTTTTTCTCTTTTTCACAATCAGGTTTCGGTTTTAACATCCTGGTTTTAATCGTTCCCTACTAGAAGAAGCCTCTTTTATTCGGTTCGTATCGGCCCAAGGCAGAGGTCTCTTTTCGCATTTCACGCTTCTGGGAAACTACCCACCTACCCCTCCCCTAAGCTAACATTTTGCCCTAAGTGAGAAGTAGGTGCTAATGTTGGCTTAGGGGAGGGTTAGGTGGGCAGTTTCCAAGAAACGCAAAATGATCCCTCTTTTCCTCCCTCCCGCCGAACTGGAATACCAGGGAAAAGAGGCGGGGCCTCTAGCAGGAAAAAATGATCTTGTTTATTCGGATTTGTTTTTTTTATTTCGCTTTACATTTTTTTCTTTTGCGGTTTTGGTCGATTTATTTTTGCGGCCGGTTTCGGTGGGTTTCTAATATGCCACAATAAACCCCCCCGATCCTAAATCTAGCAAAGTATGAGGCTCACCACCGATCAGTGCAAACAAGCTGAAGGCGGTATAATTACTACGCTCAAAACTGGATATTCACTTTCGAACATACGACGTAACAAATCCAAAGAATCTGACCGGATATCATGCATCTTAACTTTGCGCAATATCTTAGGGAAGTGCCCTCTAAAGTAAGCATTATCATGATTAAATTTAGCAGATCGGTGGCAACTTCAAGCGAATTTAACTATTTTCAAATCTAACAGTAAAATATAGTAAGATTTTAGAAAAAATGTTCCGTAGCCAAAACATCTGGAAAATCATTCAAAACTGAAAGATATTTTCTCAACCCAATCTCAAATAAAGATACGACTACTGAACCGACTGAATATATCACGGTCATCAAAAACTCGCTGTTTCATGTGCAAGGAATTCGTGAGCAACGAATCACAAAAACAAAAAAGAAAAATGAAGAAAACTCAAAACACGTCACCAGGATAAAGAGAAAGTCACGTTTTACGGAGAAATGGAGACTCGTCAGTTGTTATCTGTAATTCAGGTTTCGTTCCACAAACGACCCGGGGATTTCACAGTTTGGGTTTTGTTGGAAGCTCGAGGAGTTTTTTTCTCGTTTTGATTTTTGCCCCCAGTAGTGATTCGATCATCCCCGTCACTTAAAATCTGGAGCACCCCCTCACCCTTGTTAGTGCATCCATGATTCCGGGTTGGGGAAGATGTATAAACGCCTTTCTATTAAAAAGTTAAGGTTTATAGTTTTCTATTATTTTCCCTTTGCAGAAGCCATTCAGCTAAACAATGTGAAAATATGCTCAGTATATTTTCACACTCACGAAGCCTTCTCGAGCTAAGATACATTGAATTTATCTTACCCCGAAATTGCTCCGTCACCTCCGTGAGTCCTGGACGAGACTGATTCGATAAACTATGCGATTGTCCCGTCCTTTTGCAGGAGCGCAGCATATCTAAACGGTTACATTCTCTGTTATTTTTTTAGCGGGCCTTTCGAGCAAAACTTTATGAACGACTTAACGGGTGGAACACACGCTGCAGCATTCCTCGCACGCAATGGCTATATTGCTAAACTCCTTTTCTGTTTTGTGCGCCGTCCGAAAATTTGTCGAGGCAATTTTTAATATATTAGCAGCAGAATTTCCTTCTACTTGTAAAGCACTGCGCGCAATAATGGGCGAATTTTTGTTCAAAGAGTTTTTCAACTTGTCGCCGAGTAGAGACAAATATGTTGCGCTCCTGAATATTACAGGAAGTTTTGGCTATAGGCAAAGTCAACGTAACGTCCACTGAGAAGGCAAATGCGCGCGCCGGATTGAAACGGGTCTTCCCGGTGCGCAATTTGCCGTTCTGTCTTTGGTTAAACCTTGCAGGTGGTTAACTGAGGTCTGCGACAAAAGCCTGCGCCCGCCGTCCACACTTTCGTTGCGTAGTCTCTACTGAATATGCCTATTGTTGTGTGTAAGGGTTTGCTAGTGACGAAAGCGCTCTGGTCGCCGCGTTTCCTTATAACTAAAAGCAGAATATGTATGGCCTGCGATGCTCGCTAAGAAGGGATAGCGCGAAGCAGAGAAGAAAAATGAGAAGGAGAAAGGAAGGGAAAGTTTCCCCCCTTAACTTTACAGCATGTTCCCCCGGAGGCCTACTTGCTAGCCTACGAGCAAGCTCTCCTGAGGTTCCCGGGGGTACGGGGGTGGGGGAGGGAAGAGGGCCCCAAGAGAGCTTGCTCGCAGGATACATACTTGCAGGCTATACACATATAGGTTTACTACTGTTCTTAGATGTTCTCGTTCAGACGCGAGCCTTGCGCAAAGAACGCGAAAGGTCTCTACAACATCGTCTCCAAGGCTTTCCCCTTACATTAGTGAGTTTACGCAACAGGACGGCAGAAAGAAGAGGACGGCAAATGGCTTGTACGTGACGAACGTGACAAGGCTATATCTTGCGTATTTTGTCGTGATCTTGACCAACATCAATGTTTTCTGGTCTTTTACTAAAAGATCTGTTTAAAAGAAAGTGCGACAAGCAAAATTATTGTCAACTTGTCACACAAGGAATGACGACGACGACGGCGACGGCAACGAGAATGGCCAAAAAGCAATAGGTTTAGATTAGCAAAACAACAACTTTGCACGTGCATCACGCTTTATTGTACATTTCTTTGCCTACGACATGAAACTTCATAGTTTCAAGTTTTGTGGAGGACGTGAAGACAAGACAGCAATTTTCCTTTTTTTTACCCTGAACTTTAATACAGTCCTTTAGAATTCAACTCGAGAAAATTTCACCAGTATTTGCCGAATTGAACAAGATGGAAAAAGCTCGGTAAAGTTTGAAGCAGCGAGAATTTTTTTCATGAAGTTTTCGTAGACGTCGCCCTCGCTCCCTTAAAGAAAATATGACGGATGCTTTTCAATTAATTTCTAAGGGAAAAGCCCTGCCTGGAAGGGGCCAAGGTTTCGAGCGTACAGAAAACGAAACCAAACATAAATTTAATATAAGAACCGTAGTGTTTGTACTAGTGTTTTGAAAAACGAATCAGGACATTTTATACATATATAGATATATATTTTTTTGAAATGAGTGTTAGTAAGAAACGCTTTACATTTCTTGATTGCGCGATTTGTGCATTCATGGTCATGATGACCCTTTTCTAGTTTTACGCTGTTTTAAACGATATGCCATTCAACTCATTTCAGTCCAACTTGAATATGATTACTTGCCAATAATCAAAGTCTAGTTTGAAAATTCAGTTTCACCAATTCATGCTGTCTTAGATCAGATCAGTGTCTTGCTTTGATTTTCAGAATGAGATGTTAATCTCAGGCCCACCCAGGAAACTGCGCTTCAGTGTTATATTTTGTTGTTTTTCTGCGCGTAATTAAAGATCCACAATCTCCCGTCCTTGATACACCTCCTGCATTCTCGCCGTAACTACTGTTGCCCTGTTCGTAAGTTCTTCTACGCTCGGCCTCGATTCGGGATCACCTCTCAGGCATTCGTTTATCGTCGTTTTTAAGTCATCAGAGAAGCAGGCATTGATCTCTGGAGGTAGTCTCCCTTCCATTATATTTGCTAACGCGGTAAACATGTCTGTGCCTTGAATTTTGTAAGCGGGTTCCATTGCCGCAAGCTCATAAAGGACGCACCCAAGTAGCCATACTTGACTTGCAGGGCTAAATTGTTGCCCCTTCAAAACTTCCGGCGGGGAATATAGTCCGGTGTTACTATCCCCCATAGCCATTGCGTTCATGTTATCCTGTGCAGAGGCCATGTACAGCAAACCACTGTCCAGTTTCAAGGCTCCGCTTTCATCAAAAGAAATCCGTTCGGTAGGTTTTGAAGTCTCGTAGATAATTCCTTTCTCGTTGAGATATTTAACAGCAGAGCACAGCCCACTAAAAGCTTTCCATATTAAGTATTCAGGCAAAAGCCTCCGTAGTTCTCTCTGCTCTGCAAGGACATCCACAAGCGCAACTGGGGGGTATTCAAAGACGATTATTTCGGTTCCGCCCTGGTTGAACTGCACTAGATTATGAGTAATATTTGGATGGCTTACCCCCTTCCAAGCTTCCATGATCGACTTGACTCGCTCATCAGCAAGACACGGAGGAACGCACTTCAATAAA